TTTGTGATAGTACGTTGCTTCAATCTTCAAGTCTGGATGGCGTCGAATTGCTAAATAAATAACTTTATCAGATTTTATAATTTGAATTTAACTAGAAAATATCGGCAGACAAGCTTCGCTTACAAGGTTCGTGGAAGACTGCAGGTTTTTCCGCACGAATGCACTGTTATGAACATTTGACCATCATATGTAACTGTACCAACATAGGCCTTACAGTGAACAGATTTATATAAAGTTATTTAAGTTGCAGAAATAAACATGTTACACTTTAATATGACATTGTTATTGGTTTTTAACAATATGAATAACAATCATTGCCCCTCGTCAAATCTATATATATATACTAGCTGTCCCGGCAAACGTTGTTTTGCCTTAGATAAAAAAAAGATTAGGGGTGGACTACCCCTAATATTTAGGGCGATGAAAAATAGATGTTGGCCGATTCTCAGACTTACTCAATACGCTCACAAAATTTCATGAGAATCGGTCAAGCCGTTTCGGAGGAGTATGGGAACGAATACTGTAACACGAGAATTTTATATATAAGATAATGAACTGCTGTTCGTTAGTCTCGCTAAAACACGAGAACGCTGAACCGATTTGGTTAATTTTAGTCTTGATATATTCGTGGAAGTCCAGGGAACGTTGATATAATATGAAGAAATTGCGTGTAAAATAGTAAAAACAACAATTTTATTTTCGCATACAAACTGCTGATACCTGTCAAACAGGGTGCGTTCAGATATTTATTGCGTAACTAAACATCAAAAAACCTTTGACATATTTAATTTTGAGGCGAGATGGAGTTGGTCACTAGTTAATAATAAAATAAACTTAATTAAATAATTCAGTAAATGTTTAAAATGTTTTTTATTAAATGCGTATGGTGCATAGTAGTGAGTCGTCGGTTGGTTCTGGCGGCGTTGTTCTTTGGTGGCTGGAGGCGCGGGTCCCCTGCGGGGGTGTCCTGCGACCCTCGTCTCGCGGCCGGCCTCATCTGCGAGGGCTCGTCTTCGGTCGGCGTACCCGACCTCCTATTAGGAATGTTCGATATTTAATTAAAGTGCGTTTTTGGCGATCCGCCTCCGACGTGCCTCCGCTCAGGCACAATTAAATTTTATTGGAGCTAATCGAAACTTAAGCCTGTATTAAATAGACAAAGATTACGTGCCGGCACCATCCCCACACTAAGTGAACAACACTACTTATAGCATATATTTATATATATCGTATATATAAAATTCTCGTGTCACAATGGTAGTTACCATGCTCCTCTGAAACGGCATGACCGATTTTTATGAAATTTTATATGCATATTCAGTAAGTCTGAGAATCGGCTACTATCTATTTTTCATACCCCTAAGTGATAAGGATTGTCCACCCCTAACATTTTTTTTTGGGCACATTTTTTTATTTATATTTTTTTATTATGTGTCATTAAAAATACATACAACCCAAAATTTTTACCCTTCAACATTAACCCCTATTTTTTAATAGCGATTATATATAACGGTTTAAACGAATATTGCATACATTAGCCTGTATTAACAGTACAGGACAATGAGTGAGTGGTGAGTGGTGAGTGGTGAGTGGTGAGGCACTGTGACTGTCCTGTCGGTGGTGACGTGTGTTGCATGTGGCGGACAGCGGGTGCGGGGGGCGGGTCTCGTCGCCGCGACATCGTTTTCGCGTGGCCTTCTACTTTTTGTTGCGTACAACCCTTGGGTGTCCCTCATGCCCCATATCATTTCCACTTACGTGATGACAGCCCTATGCCACTTTTTGCCAAGATTTAACGATTTGCATGAGTTTTTATTAACCCCGGCTGTGGATGACATATTAACGACTTGAACACAAGAAAACGGGAAAATGTTTCGAACGTTTAAATATCACAGATAGGTAACTATTGAAACATATCTTAAGGGTTGTGCACAGCTGATTATATGTGTAGTAGTCATTCATAACGTATAGGAACATAGACAATTTGTAAATAAACTGGCTTTTAAAAAACAAGTTATTCAATTGAGTTTCTTGCCAGTTCTTCTCAATTGGATCTATATACCAAACTGGACGGTAGGGAAAAAAATAAAATTATCATGTAAAAATTGGACGTTCATAAGCGGCTAAAATGTCCTACATGAATAAATGATTTTTGTGTTTGAATTTGAATTTGATACGGTAAGATCTATGCCTTTATTTCAACAAAAACGTTTTCATATTTTGTTTGTATTGTTTTTTTTTCATATTTTAGTAGTATCTATCTACTTACCGTGTTTATATAATTTCGCTACCTCATACTGGCATATGCCCGTTATTGTACCATACCGAGCAATATAAACACGCAGCGAGTCCCCCACTAGATGTGGTGAACAAATTGCATTTCTAAGCTGGCAATATCTCCACAGATAACACAACACCGCCCTCGGCCTATTCACTGCCGACCCTGATGAAATGGGGGTGAAAGCCGAAACAACGCGACGCAAAAAGTGCTATGTCGCAATCGGTGCGACTTCTGACGTAAGACGGAAACTTACCGGGTGCCAATTTATAAAAAATCACACAAATACATCTGACTATCTTACCTATTAAATCTTATGGAAAGAAGAAGAAATTATTCAAAAACCAATACAATTATATGTTACATTATAATAACGTATCTATTACTTACGTATATATAACTTTACAAACTCGGTGGTCTAGCGGTCTAGCACACCGCTTTACGACCGATGGTCGCGGGTTCGATTCCTCGCACGGCACAAACATTTGTATTCATGAGTATGATTGTTTGTATCGGTCTGAGTGTTTTCTATGTATAATATGTATGTAGGTATTTACAAAAAAAAATCTATGTATATGTATCAGTTATCTAGTACCCATAACACAAGCTTTAGGTAGCTTAACTTGGGTCTAGATGGCGCTGTGTAAATTGTCCTGAGATTATTATTATTATTATTTACAAACTTAAATTAATTTTATACGATACGTGTATCTAACGATAGCATGCCAAAATATGCAGAAAGCAGACTTGCAAATAAACTGAAAATGCTAAGTTCAAGATGACCATGTTCATAAAGATAAGTAACTACCACCGGACTGTGCCTAAGCTTGATCGTCACCTACGCTATGTGAAAACTATATTTCATAAAGTTATTTCTGTCTTCAGACAATGTTAAAGTAGTGTACTTCGGGTTGATATTCCTTTACATGACGGCACCGTCACCCGACCACGCCGCGCCGCGCTGCGTGGTCGTCATTCGACACTTTGAGACGACTTCTGTGCAGCTTCCTTAATTTGTTGGTGCGGACAAACAGCGCTCTCTTCAACTGATAAAAACTGTTTGCACACGTAATTGAATGCGAAATGAATTGCGCAGATCAAAGATGGCACGTCTCGGCCCGCATCGCAGCCAGCGGGCGAGGGCGCCACCGGCATCTTACTTTACGATGTTTTAATTTATTTCAAAAAGACGCTCAGCCCGGGGCCGGCCCGATCCCGGCGGCTTAGCGTTCAAAGTGCCGCCTTCGTTTTCCCAAAATTTCCTCTTTATGTTAGACGTCATCCCACTTCGGGTAATGTTAGCAGTCATATTTCACGAACAAAGGTAACAATAGGATAATAAAGTGCGGTCATAATCCGCCGCACAAAGGCGCGACGCGATGGTCCACAGGTGACTCGCCACACACCACTCGCCGGACAGAAATAGGAATAATCTTTATTCAAATAAACTTACTTCCATTTGGACGTTCGTAGTCATCTCAGGGTGCAGAGTTTATAGTCCATACCTCTTCTGCTGCCACTTTGAAATGTTTCAACGATTTAAATTAATAGTATTAACAAGTACATGCAGTAGCTAATATATATATACTATTGACTCTTCCATTACAATATAATCATACAACCACAGTTTCATGATAGACCTCTGTACCGCAGGTCCATCAACGAGTTAATTTATGAATGTAACACTGCGGGTGTTTTACATTTTACACACGAGTAAAGTAGTATTAATATCTTGAGAGTACCGCCGCTGGATATGCGAATCGGATAGTAAATATGATACAGTATGGATCTAGTGAGACTGCTATAATGTTCTCACAATAAATTTAGAGCAGCGGGGTACGTCGAAACCACATTCCCTCCACATAACAGTCATTAACGTCGTAATTAAACTTTGATTTGGGAGTGCCGCCGTTATTAGGCACACGGCCCACTCGCTCGCATATGAATGCTATCTGATACGGATCGAAACCATGCCAATACCAATTTTGTACTAGGGGTATAAGACACAAAATGATTTGAAGAGCTCTCCGTCACGAAGGCCATCGGGGACCTGCGTCAAGAGGCGACAGCTGTCACATCGGGAATCACTTGCATCGCACTTCGTTAAATTGTGATGAAGTTCAAATCGCGCTCCCAGCCTTCTTGTGACGAGTGGCCACCGTGTCAAACGCTACGTATACTCGCATACGAGCCAATTGCCCCTATATGATCATGTCACACGGGGACCACTTGTTCGTAATTTCACATTTTTATCGCCCCATATTAATTGAAATTAGAAATTAAATTGGATCTTCATTCAATTTGTTTAATATTGTACTAAATAGAATTGCAGCCTGGTGCAGACTGACAATTAGATATCTGAACCTAGAAGGAAACTATATGTACAATGTTTTTTAACTTATTGATGGAATCACTACTACCTACTACTAGTTTGATTTTTAAGTTCATTCCCGTACAGTATGTTCCTAGAATATTTACATTCAAATTCAAATTCAAAAATCATTTATTCATGTAAGTCATTTTAGTCGCTTATGAACGTAAAATTTTTTACATTATAATTTTAATTTTTTCCGCCAATTTATTTACAATATATATTTATATAGGTGTTAATGTCTAACATACTATACCCCCAATAGTTCGAGCCTAATATTGAGAAGTTATTATTTTAAATTGCATACATCTGTGGAAATCTATACTAATATAAATTTATTCACGTTCACAGGACCTCCAGGGCCGCCCGGCAAGAGAGGCAAAAAGGGCAAGAAAGGAGACCCGGGCGAACCTGGACCACCGGTGAGTATACCGAGTACTGACCTCGCTGTCCGCAATTTTTTATACAATCCTGAGAAATCCTGATCGGAATTCGAAATCTATTTAAATAGTAGATACGTTATTACAGACAGATATGTATTCTAGGGTTGTCAACTTTATTTGACAAAAAAAACGTATAAACTGGTTTAGATAGGAAAAAATAAAATATTTTTCAAATTGTATGTTTTTATTAAAAAGTATTTTCGTGTGATTTTAACACTAGAGCTGTGTCAAATGTCACAACTCACAATTCACATCTAACTTTTCGTTCAGTAATTATAAATCGTTAAGTACCCATAATGAGTATGTTGTTTTACGCATCACAGTGAAGGTTGAAAATAAAGTATTTTTGCATACTTTATTTGTATGTAAAACTATAAAGTATAATTACCAAAAATAAAGTAGGATACGTTGTTATAAAGTATGGTTGGCAACCCTAATGTGTTCCACACTGCATCACGAAAAGGTTGCAAGTGGGTGGAAATTTAGGGTAGAGGTCATATCAGTATCTACACTACTACATTTTATGCTGTATTCATGGTATGATACCGCACAGAGCATACCATTATGGCTAAGGTGATACGTCTCATGCCTTGGCATTTCTAAGGACTAAGGTGTATGTGCTATATGCCTACAAGCTTTCACACTCTCCAAACCAGAACACAACGTATAAGGACTTTAAAAATGAGTTAAAAGATAAACTTGTGTGCTTCCGAACTTCGTTCAAGTCCCAATAACACAATAACCGAGAGTCGTTAATCTTAAATAATATTATTTACTAGCTGTACACGCGACTTCGCGTGGAATTTAACATTATTTTTCTAAAATAAAAGTAGCCTAAGTTACTTCTTATTATATCAGCTACCTGTCAAAAAAAGTCCCGTCAAAATCGGTACAGCCATTTCAGAGATTAGCCGGAACAAACATACAGACAGACAGACAAAAATTGTATAAAATATTACTTTGGTGTATGTACCGTATTTATTTTCATATGCATGTATATTAATTGTATTAGTTTTCCATATTTGTTTCGAGTAATTTTCCGATGGAAATAATTTCCACCAATTTTGTGAGTTAAAATATCTATTAAGAAACCAAACTATTTCAGCTATAAAAACACAGAAATACATAATTGGTTATTTAAATTAAACATTATGTAAACGTTAATTAATATACAAGTGTTTATTTAATTAAATTCAGAGTACAAGGAACCTGTTGCAAACTCTTTGCACATTTTTATGTTTATTTACTGAAATGTGGGCGATAGAATGAGTGGATTGTATGTGTGATGTAAATCAAACAATGGATAGAAAATGGTAAATACTTATAATGAAGATACCTGTACAAACGGTTGGAAGGCAAAAGTGACAATAAAAAAATATTACAATTCTATAAAGAAAATACATTTACAATAATCTCAGGACAGTTAATCTCTCTAAAGCTTGTGTTATGGCTACTAGACAACTTATAAAAATACTTAAATTTTTTTAAAATGCATACATAATATACCTACATAGAAAACACCCAGACCGATATAAACAATCATACTCATGAATACAAATGTTTGTGCCGTAAAATTCAAAATTGATAGAAAAATGAACATATAAAGATGTGTAAAGAGCTTGCAACAGAATATTTAGTATGTTTGTCAGACCTTATATATATATATATCATATACTTACATATACCGACATAGTCACATATTGTTAATTTAGTATTGTTTGTTTTTGTTGTGACAAATTACAATTAGCACTGCGCAATAACACAAACTGATACGGCCAGTGTTATGTACAGTCCACTCTAATTTTATTGTGACTTTAGATAGATATATAGATAATTTATTTGCTTCAACATTTACAACAACAGTACAAATGTTCGCCTCGTATTCAGGGGGCATGCAAATTATAATTCATAACAATTACCTTTACAATTAAATAACATTATAAATAAGAATATTAAATGTCAGGTCAATTCTCGCAAAGAGTATCCGCATTGATTATTATTTGTTATGATTTTTTGTACATTTATTTTATAGTATTGTACTGTATGTACATTTATCGTTGTTCAGTAGTTTTATTTTATTTTTGTTTATTTCGTTTTCAGGGTTTAACTGGGGCGGCAGGAAAAAATGGATTTCCGGTATTTAATTTCAAAGTTTTATTATTTTCTTATTTTTTATCAATACCCCTTCGTTTACGTACTCACCGATCATTACCTCTGATGATTCTTTATTTATTAACCCTATTTTCATTCTTGCGCGCCCTCTATTGTGGAGTGGTAGTAACTACCTAACACAGAGCTCGAGCAGTGACTTTAACGGTACGAGCAGTATTCAAACTATAATAAAGTACCGATAGATGTCGCGAGAACAACTTTAGAGGGCATTATATTAATTTTTCAATTCATCTGTTTCATATTTTGATCTACTCAAGTCTTTATTTTTCATATCTTTTACTATTTTTCTGCGGTGTGTTGTACCCGGATATGACGTTTCAGGGGAGCAAAGGCGATAAAGGCGAGCGAGGTTTCATGGTAAGATCCGGGCGTGTCCGGGCGAATTAATTAGTGTTAGAACTAGACCCCGGTCCCCGCCCTCGCCTGTGTAGTGTACCAGCCCCTACTGTAGTACACCCACTAACTCATCAGCTCCTTACAACTTTTGCACAAAGATGTTTTAGACTATCGTTTAGAGATCGCGTCGATTTTTTTAGCGTTACTTTTAATGTTTATACCTTTAGACCGATAAGTAACCGTGAAATTATAAAAATCGTCATAGAATAGAATAGAATAGAAAATCATTTATTCAAATAAACTTAATTTAAGCGCTTTTGAATAGTCATAACAATTTGTTTTTTATCTACCACTCGTTCGGAAAGCTGTCTCATCACAAGAAGAACGAGCAAGAAACTTGTGTGTTGCTCTTTTAAATAATCCTTGTAAGTTTACATTTACAAGTCGAAACGTGTGAATACAAACTACCAACAAGCACTAATTTTTTGGGTCAAATATAATCATGCAATAAGATTAAATCAGTCGTAGTGATAAGAGCAGACCAGTCCCTACAAGCAGCACTCGTTCACGAGTATGACGGATGAGCCAGCCATCACTGCGCTCGACCATATTTTAGGGAGCCCATTGACCCGGCCCACCACGCCGCCACATGTCTGGACATTTTAGTGAGCATGACTACTCATTCCACACGACCACGTCACAGCTACAAAAATTACTATATGGTAGTTACAGTATTCGCACTTTACATAAGGATGCATGCGGCAATCAATACAAAAGCCGCTACGCTATCATATATCAAGAAAGCAGTATGAAAATTAAAATTATAACGTTGTCCGCAAATAAACTTATTCTTGCTATATATTGCTATCATCTATAAATTCATCTATCTTATAATAGGCTTTTTTACATAACATTTGTTTAATATAAGATTTGAATTGCCTCTCTGTAAGATTTAGCGTAGACTCTGGCAGTTTATTATAGAATCTTACGCAATTACCATAAAATGAATTACTAACTTTGTGTAGACGGCATTTCGGTAAAATTAGCTTATTTTTATTGCGTAAGTTTCTACTTGTACAGTCTTTAAGTTTCTTGAAACTATCTAAGTTTTTCCTTGTATACATAATATTTTCATAAATGTACTGTGAGGCAACGGTGAGGATATTTGATTGTTTAAAGCATTGACGTAATGACTCTCTAGAACCCATACCATAAATAGAACGTATGGCTCTCTTTTGTAAAATAAATATAGTATTTATATCGGCAGCTTTACCCCATAGCAGTATGCCATATGACATAATGCTATGGAAATAACTAAAATATACAAGTTTTGCCGTCGCCACGTCTGTTAATTGCCTTATCCTTCTAATTGCATAAGCAGCAGAACTAAGTCTACTGGCTAATTTTGAAATATGGGGCCCCCATTGTAACTTCGAGTCCACTGTTATTCCTAAAAAAACTGTATCATTAACAAAATTTACTATTTCATCATTAAGCAATAGCTGCGTATTTACTTGTTTTACATTAGGCAGCGTGAATTTAATGCACTTAGTTTTGTTGGAGTTCAATAATAGATTATTACATGTGAACCAATTTAGTATAGCAGAGATAGCATAATTTACATCGTCTAATTGATTACATTGGCGAACAATTTTAAACACTAACGAAGTATCATCCGCAAATAACACTATGTCTGCAACTTTCTCTACCATGTAGGGAAGGTCATTTATATAAATTAAAAAGAGAAATGGGCCTAATATTGAACCTTGAGGAACGCCCATTTTTATATTAGTTCCCTTAGACTTTACACCATCAATATCTACAGTTTGCACCCTATCCTCTAGATAAGTTTTCATTAGTTTCATTGGTTTCATTCATTATTTCATAATTCTCAAAATCGTAAAAAAATCTTTATTGATATATTTGTTAAACACTATACGAGCTGTGTTTCCCGTCAGTTCTTCTCATCTCGAAATAATTCCGACCTGGCGGTAGATTTGACATATCATAAGAGTCTGTAATAGACCTACACGAATAAAGATATTTTAAATTTTATGAACTGTTCAATATGATGTATGTTCTACATGACATTATATTATATTTGTGGCTGTAAATACGGACAACCAAAGCGTAAATAAACTATAAGCTAATCGACTATGATTACTTAACCGCAAATTCATTAGTTTCCTCGTACCAAGTGATGGTAGCAGCGCGACGGGCGTCGCCCGGGGCCGGGACACACGCACCAACACTGACCAATATGTAGCTTCTATTTATAATTAAACTAGCGGCGGGTACAGCTACACTTCGTCCGCATGGAATTTAACTTTACTTTTCTAAAATAAAAGTAGTCTAAGTTAGCCTATTACATCAGCTATCTGCCAATAAAAGTCCCGTCAAAATAGGTCCAGCCATAGATTAGCCAGAACAAACAGACAGAGAGACAAAATTTGAAAAAATGTTATTTTGGTGTATGCACCGTATTTATATTCATATGCATGTAGTAAAATCGGTTATTTCAATATTACAAACAGACACTCCAATTTTATTTATATGTATAGATGATATCAAAGTATTTCAAACACAAATCATGTCAAGGACTTGTCGATCCACAAATAGCGCGCAACTACCTGTGCTCTGGTGCTAATGTAATATGCACAAATAAATTGTTTTTTTTTCGGACTACTCTTAGTGGCAGCTGGCCTTTACAGCTTCACCGGACGATAGAGAGCGAGTGCAGATGGCACTCCAAACCTGCGGAAGGACTTATGGAGCGGCTGAAGGCCAACTCCCGCCTGACGGATACGACTTTAGTCTGAGGGCACCACTAGGGGTTCGAACCTCGGTTCAGCCGTCGTAATATCGACCCCGTTTGAATTGAACGGGGGATCGATCGGAGGTGTAAATAAATTTTATCAAAATTGAAAAAGACAAGTAACGGATGTCCTGCGTACATTAACGTGAAGAGATCTTTCTCTTAACTCCGTTCATTTGCTATGAATAAAAAATATTGCTGGATTACATACATACATAGACAAACTAAATAAAAAAAATAGAAAGAGGTCTAGAGACGCTTCCAAATATATCAAAGTTATACTAACATCGTATATATATATATATATTACAAAGCTAGCTGCATGGCTGTTGAAATATCTGAAATTGATATACATATGCCGACGAATTTTTATGTTGTAACTTAAGAAAAAAATACCTATTCTACTACATTCTACTTTTTGGTTAGATTCTAATACTTTGAGAAAATTCTTACAGAACAAATATTAAGCAAATAGCTCAGGTAATTGAAAAATTGCAGCAAATTTTTATCTTCGCACATTGTACAACAATTACACGAATGGTGACAATACTCGTGACATATACCGGGACAGAACAACTACTGTCGAGCCAGTCTCAATCTCATACATTTATATTTCTCAGTTTGTCACTACTTTTTAATCGTTGGAATAGTTAGCATCGTAGTTTTGTTTATAATAATAATAATAATCTCAGGACAATTCACACAGACCCAAATTAAACTAGCTAAAGCTTGTGTTATGGGTACTAGATAACTGATATAAATACATAGATATTTTTTTTTGTAAATACATACATATTATACATAGAAAACACCCAGTCCGATACAAACAGTCATACTCATGAATACATATGTTTGTGCCGTGCGAGGAATCGAACTCGCGACCTTCGGACGTAAAGCGGTGTACTAGACCGCTAGACCACCGAGGTCATCAAACGATGAACGCTAAGTATCTAAGATGAAGTTTAAATCTGCTCTATACGAGACATCAACACATTTATTTATTTTATTTATTTATTTAATTAAAACATTTCCACATAAACATATCCAGTCGATCGAGACGCTCTTAAAAGGGTACTTAAACTATATTTTAAAAAAATTGGACGTAATCTTGATGTTGGTATGTACCACGGTATATTATCTGATCCTGTATCGCCAGCAACATTTTTTATTTTCATTGTATAGTAGAAGATAATGTTAGTAATAAGGAGCTGTTCAACTATTATGTAAGAAGATATATTACAATTTCTTACCCCCTCCCCCCATTCTAACGTAAACATTTTTCAATTAATGTATTGTTTTTTAGCAAAGACAATGTGAGAGTAGCCGTTCATGTAAATACCTATTGATGACGTAATCATCATCTAGTCTACCCCCATGTTATCCAAAATATCCAAAGTAAACCCCCCGCCCTCCCAAAGTGTAGTGTCTACGTAATACTTAAACGGCCCCTAAGATACGATAGGACTGGCATCATATTATGATAAAAGTCCCTAAACAAATCTAAGAATTTAAAAAAATCGGTTATACATTAGACAAAGTTGTACGGATGCTGCGGCCCGGTCGCTCCCGAACCTCTGCCCGCCCTCACGACACACTAACTTGGTGGTTTGCGTTTGGTACTCACTTTCCTTCACTATTCATTTCAATGCCTAACTCATCAACTTGCTTATTATAAACCTACTTAATGCTAATTTCAGTTTACTAATACTTTTAAGTTATTTTTTTATACTACGATGGTGGTAAACAAGCATACGGCCCATCTGATGGTAAACAGTTACCGTAGCCTATGGACGCCTGAAACACCAGGGGTGTCACGTGCACTTTGGCGACCCTTAAGAAACCTTCTTGAAAAACCCCATGCTGTAGTCTCGTGAGAAAACCACGGCAGGAAGTTCATTCCACAATCTAAGTGTCTATAAGACTCCATTGATGGGCTGCCAATGTCATCCACACGGCACCCATTCTACAATAATTTAAAATCTTATAAATTTATTATTGAGTTATCAACTGCTTCTTCCTTATCCCACTTATTTGTGGTCGTCGTAATATGTTTTTCTCTTCCATTCATCCCTGTTCGCAGTCATCTCGTTATTTACTTCCTTTCTTACTATATCACCTCTCACACAGTCCATCCATCTCTTTTTCGGCCTTCGTCTGCCCTTATAACCATCCACATTCAAATGTAACACCTTCCTTAGAATATTATCTTCATTCCTACGCATTACATGTCCATACCACGATAGTTAATATCACTAATATTGAATATTCAAATATTGAGTACAATTTGATATTGAATTAACTCTGCCTACTGAAGGTATGTAGATTATTTAATCGCATGTTAAAACCTGTACTGACATATACCATGTGCGCTGTAGCATGGCGCGGGTGACAGATTCATTGACGTTTCGTTACACTCTTAAAAGTTGCCGCGATTTATAAATTGCTAGCTACTCGCCACGAATTCGCACGGGTGTACATGTATTATATATATAAACCTTCCTATATAGTCACTCTATATATTAAAAAAACCGCTTCAAAATCCGATGACTTAGTATTTCAGCTGTACCACATTCGTAATATATAAAATCATTAACTTAAATGTCGCTTGTTAAATGTAAAAATAGTAACTGTTACCCGCGCCATCCTACAGCGCACACAGTATAGTGAGCATTCAACGTTTCCTTTTTGATAGAAATCTCCTAAACTCGTATATATCTACGTAACTTGTAGTGTTAGAATGAACTACATGCTGTTGTTACCGTATATACTTGGTTACTGACTGTACCCTCTTCCACAGGGTCCCATCGGGCTGGACGGGCCGAAAGGAGATCCGGTGAGTTAATCCATTTCTTTTATTTTTCATTAGCTGTTCCCGCGACTTCGTCCGCGTGGAATTGAACTTTATTATTCTAAAATAAAAAAAACTAAAATAAAAGTAGCCTGTTACTCCTTATTACATCAGCTATATGCCAAAAAAAGGTCAAAATCGGTTCAGCCATTTCAGAGATTAGTTGGAACAGAGAGACAGACAGACAAAAATTGTACAAAAAAATAATTTTAGTAGCGTAAGTACCGTATTTATATTCATATGCATGTAGTAAAAACCGTTATTTCAATATTACAAACAGACACTCTAATTTTTTATATGTGTGTGTATGTAATAATTTCGTATACGTGTTCCAGGGTCGACCCGGAGACAAGGGACACAAGGGTGAGCACGGTAGCCCTGGCTTCGACGTGTTCTCAGCTGTCAAGGTAAATATACTCAACACTCGATTCTTGTACTTATTTTCATAGCGTTTTACAATAAACTAAATTGATAACTATAACTAAATTTAGTTGTGTGTTTATTGGTGTACAATTTAAATTATAAATTACTGAAATTGCAGGGTGTAAAAAGATCAGTGGACAACTTTAAAATAAGTCCGTACACCACAGCGGAGATCATTGCCGTAAAGGTATATAATACACGGCTGCCGATGTGGCCAACGCTAGTAGGGCTGCCAACTTTTTTTGACAAAAAAAAACGTATAAACTTGTTTGGATAAGAAAAAAATACAGTTTGGGGAAAAAAATTAAATGTATGTTTTTGTCGCTTTAGAAACGTATTTTTGTGTGTTTTCAACACTAGAGCTGTGACAATTATCACAACTCACAATTGACATGTAACATTTTGTTCAGTAATTATAAATCGTTAAGTACCCATAATGAGTATTTTGTTTTACGCATCACAGTAAAGGTTGAAAATAAAGTATTTTTGCATACTTTATTTATACTTTACTATAAAGTATAATTGCCAAAAATAAAGTAGGATACGTTGTTATAAAGTATGGTTGGCAACCCTACGCGCTGGTCAATCGCTGCCGCTTATGTCAACCCTCGAGCCGTAGTTAGGCCGTGTTTTGGATTATGCTTCTGTCGTGTTATGTACCTACATATACATATTTTGATGTTTTTTATTATTGCGGCCGAAGACAAGTGCAAAATGTACATCTGCTTTACTTAGTTATTTTCGCGCCTCTTTTTTCGATAGATTTATCGTAATTTCTTAAACGTATTATTTTTATTACATTTGTTCAAGTTTTTTTAAACCAACCGACACTTGGCACATACTATGGTTTCTCTTTTATAAATTCAATATAATTAAACTGTATCAATATGTGTAATATTCAATGTTTTTCTTTGATGCATATTCTGTTTCACATAAAGTCATTTAATGTTATACATCAACACAATATTGTAAGTAATATCTAATTTCTATCTAATAGACTATAGATTATATTTATGTGTTAACTGTTGGTTTCATTTTGTTAATTTAAGTACGTATTTGGTAGTTAGTGCCTAAGCGTCGACGACAGACTAAAATATCCACGTGTGCCATACCATGCCATCTCTATTGAATATATCCACCATCACTTTTTAATGTTGTAATTTTTTTCTCTGAATGATAATGTATTGATACAGCCGCCTGCGCTAACGCTGGCGGGGCACCAGTGGAAGATAAGATGAGCATGAGGGCAGGTCAGTTAGCCCATCATGGTAAATTCACCATTAATTTATCGCGATGTTTTCAGGGGGTACCGCGTGGAGGTTGACCTGACATAGTATATTGCTAGTGATGAGGTTATTAATCTACATTACTAACAATCCCATTTCTCTCCATTGTTGTTGTATTGTACGATCTCATTTTAGTGTATTTCAAGAGTATGTACATAGATAGTGAGGTAATTTCACACTGTAATTGTGTGTGGCAAAAAGTTTTTGGGAAAACCCAATTTGCGACGCACTGGTTTGACGCATTTAGATTGATATATTTATTTAAATTGATAGGCAATGAATTCCCCACGCATTACATCTAAATGGTCATTAACAGTTTTATAAATACAAAAAAACCTTATTAAACATGTTGGTCTTATTAAAACATTGCATTATTTATCTACAATAGCAACATATTTTCAAGCATGACCTAATAACTTCCTTTGTAAAAAAGAAAAACATAAAATTCATAGCGCTGACAATATTATCTGATTGCACTAAGAGTGCGTAGCGGTTTCTATGTTGATTATCGTATGCCTCTTACTTATTATTGTGTAATTGGGTTTTTAAAAATTGCGCGCCTTTTAATTACTGATTTTCAATAGAAGATTTTTATCAAATACATTTGATTGAAAACCTGATTATATTAATTACTTGAATTTTACTACATATTACTATAAATATTGCAACACTATAGCTGCGTTCTGTTTTTAAACAGGGTGCTCCTGGTTTTTAAATTTGGTTTTGGCAACCCTATTCTATTTTAATAGTTGGGGTGTAATCAGGCTGGTTGTGGCGTGGTCTGGTATGACGTGTCGTGACGTGTCGTGTCGTGTCGCGGTATGCATGTGTTCGTGTGTTGGTGTGTTGGTGTATCGTACTGACTTAGATGTACTGTACGTAGGGCCTGCAGGCGGCCGGACACAATGTCTCCGCGCACACCATCATACAGCTCAAGGTAAGTACCTCATCTGCACTTCTATTAACTTCCGGATGAGCAGCAGGCGGCAGGCGGCAGGTATTGTCGTTCTTGCCTTTCACAGTATTAAATTGAATTTCTTTCGAGCTTGCTTGTTGATTTGTTGTAATTGTATTATATCAAAGATGCATGTAGTAGAGTTTCAATATTTGCCTATTGTAAATCACATATGTTATTTTTCATACTCACAATATCAATTAATAAATATTATACTCTATATGATCAGCATATATTATGAAGTAATAGTAATACACAAACTATAGACATTTTTAATTCACGAAAAAAAATATTGAATTTAACTTAATATATATAAAATAATATCTACGGACAATTTACACAGCGCCATCTAGTATAATACTCTTAGAAGTACAAGACTGATACAAACAATCATACTCATGAATACAAATGATTGTACCGTGCGAGAAATCGAAAGGCGTCATAATTTATATATACTTTTCAGTATTAAAAGATAACTAATTGCAGGCAATCGATAAATGTTATTTAAACATATTATAAAATATAAATTGCTTTCAGGGAGAGCCTGGCGAACCGGGGCCCCCAGGCCCCGCAGGCCCGCAGGGTCCCGACGGGCTGCCGGGCCACGACGGGAGGACGGGGCCCGCGGGTACCGCCGGCCCGCCGGGACCCATCGGCCCGTCGGGCCCGCCTGGACCCGTAGGACCCATCGGACCCAGCGGTCCTTCTGGACTAAGGGTAATTTATTTCCACTACTAAAATATGTTTGAATGCTAACTAACTATACTATACTAACTTATAACTCACTCTTCTATAAATACGTTTATTATTAACTACTAGGTGTACCCACGACTTCGTCTACGTGGAATTTAACTTTATTTTTCTAAAATAAAAGTAGCCTAAGTTACTCTTTATTACATCAGCTACTTGCCAAAAAAAGTCCCGTCAAAATTGGTCCAGCCATTTCAGAGATTAGCCCGAAGGCCGAACAAACAGACAGACAGACAAAAATTGTTAAAAATATTATTTTGGTGTATGTACCACCGTATTTATATTCATATGCATATAGTAAGAAACGGTTATTTCAAAATTACAAACAGACACTGCAGTTTCATTTATATGTGTAGATAATTAATGTCCACCTCGTGAGGAAGACATTCGTGTTTCTGGTCTATAAAATGTAACATTTCGTATGCAGGGAGACAAAGGAGACAAGGGCGAGCGTGGCTTCACGACGACACTGAAGGGCGACGCGTTCCCCACCGGCATCATTGAAGGCCCGCCCGGCCCCCCGGGACCTCCCGGTAACTACCGCCAGCTCCCACCGGCTCAGTAGTAGTAGAACGTCAGGTGGCCGCCAGCCGGCACCACCGCTGTCGGCCGGCATGCTTGTCGTTCAAGTCTAGTTCCGCTAGTGTCCGACCACGAATTTCGGTTTCGGGCAAATTCAATGTAAAATTGGAGTTCTTAGTTCAATTTGACTGAAACCGAAATATGATCATAAAGAGAATACACAAAATAGAAACATAATTCAATACAGAGTTATGTAACACATCATAAGTGAATAGATCCATGATCGTTTCACTAATTGATAAATTTGTAAAGTAAGTTTCCGGAAGAATTACAAAAAAAGGTAATCTTCAGTTTTGGTTGTAACTAGAGTTGCCAACGTTTTCGACAAAAAAAACGTATAAACCGGTTTGGATGGGAAAAAAATAAAGTATTAGGGAAAAAAAAGTATTTTTCAAACTTTTTTTTTGCATTAAAAACGTATTTTTAACACTAGAGCTGTGACAAACATCACAACTCACAATTCACATCTAACATTTGGTTCAGTAATTATAAATCGTTAAGTACCCATAATGTGTATTTTGTTTTATGCATCATCATCAGTAAGGGTTGAAAATAAAGTATTTTTGCATACTTTATATAAAAGTATAATGTATGATATAATTACCTAAACTAAAGTAGGATACGTTATTATAAAGTATGTTTGGCAGCCCTAGTTGTAACATCTAGTTTGGGTCGGACACTGAACTGGCTTTTTTAATTTTTATTGGGTACACACTAATTTTAATCCGCATTATTCGTAATGGTTTGATAGTTGAAGCTTATATGTTTTAATAAAGTAACCATTGGTTAACAAAAGACATACATTTAACACTGTCTCAAACTTTTTTCTGGGCTGTTTAAAATTGAATATTTTAAACGCGAGTTGAGTTGGATAGACGTTTGTTACTCTTTCACGCAAAAACTACTTAACGGATTTTGATGAAACTTTCCAGTATTATAGCTTATACATCAGAATAACACATAAGCTATAATTTAAAAAGATATTATGCAAATTACGCGAAATATAATGATAAATGTATTAATTGTTAATAATGAATCATCAGGCGAAACCTATTTTTGAATACTAAATTATTCTAGATGTTCATGAAAAACAAAGTATCAGTTTTTAGTGTATGTTTCCTGTTAACTAACAACGGTACTAATTTCACAATGGAGTTAATGTGCTCTCACTGGAGGCAATAACCGAGTAGTGCTATAGTTGTTCACCTTTTGCTACTGACGTAGACACTGTTGTAGTAGTTTTTTTAATGTAAAGCTTTTACTAAATGTTAATGCGATGTTATTTAATGACATAGGACTGACCTGACTGAAATATAACATTCTATATTTACCGGGTACGAATGACGGTACAGTCGCGTAATACTACGGTATGAAAGAAAACGAGAAGGTTACAAGAAAGGAGGATCCAGGGATTACATACCAAACATCTTTATATAGTATAAAATAAAGTCGCTTTCGCTGTCTGTCCCTATGTAAAATGCTTAAATATATAAAACTACACAATGGATTTTGAAGCGGTTTTTTAATAGATAGAGTGATTCAAGAGGAAGGTTTATGTATATAATACATGCATAACATTGTAGAGAAACACTGATAAATTTAGGTAATTAGGTATATTTAGTACCAGCATAGCACCCGGCTAACGGGCGAGCGAGCCGGGCGGGTCGCTAGTATTAATTCAGTAAGCAAAGAAGCGGACAAAATAAAACAATCAGTCCTCAAGTAAATATATTTTAATAGAAATCAATAAATGTAATTTAATGTCCCTAAAAATGGGAAAGACATTCGTGATGGGAGTGGTGAGATGTGGGGAGGGTGAGAGGGGTGGTGGGTAGTGTGGAGAGTGGCGCGGTGCTGAGGCTGGTGTGGTTGAAGGGGCGGAGGGAGCGCGCGGGGAGCGCGGCGAGGCGGGGGCGGCGGGGCCCGCGGGGCCGCCCGGAGACAAGGGCGCGCGCGGCAAGCGCGGCAAGCGGGTACACAGCACACAGCACGCAGCACGCAGCACGCCCACACATACTCCACTCTCTACTTCCATTTCTAGAGGGTTACGCATACAGAGTGAAAGCCTCTCGACCGGTGCTCGTTAGAATCGAATTAGGGTTGTCAAATTTTTTTGACAAAAAAAACGTATAATCTGATTTGGATAAGAAAAAATAAAATATTAAAAGAAAAACAATATTTTTCAAATTAAATGTTTTTATTGCTTTAAAAACGTATTTTTGTGTGCTTTTAACACTAAAGCTGTGTCAAATGTCACAACTCACAATTGACATCTAACATTTCGTTCAGTAATTACAAATCATTAAGTACCCTAACGAGTACTTTGTTTTACGCATCACAGTAAAGGTTGAAAATAAAATATTTTTGCATACTTTATTTGTATGTAAAAGTATAAAGTGTAATTACCAAATATAAAGTAGGATACGTTGTTATAAAGTGTGGTTGGCAACCCTAATCGTAATAATTATTTGAAACATTTGTTTCACCGTCGACGTTGAGTTATGACCGAAGCTCACAGTCTGTATGTAGTCCTCTGCGGTGAATGGTGCGTCCAGAGTTGCCCTGTCCTCTTTGAACTCGTCGCATGCAGCACGTGCGCCGTCCATATATCTGATGTCCCTGCATGTTCGCTTACATTGCCCCGTAGTAATGGTACAAATGACCACGGACACGTTTCGCTTGTATTAATTGGTTGGCAGGCTTGTTATTGACGTTTGCGGGTAGCGGCTGCTCTGTCGTGTTAGTAGATTAGTACGGCTTCGAGGCGCAAACTGACCACGCCACGCGGCACATCACCCGGGTAAGGTATATCACACTATTTACTAATTTTATTAACAATCTATACATGTACACAAAAAATAATATTTTGGTATCTCACTAGGTATTGGGTAAAGATAGCAAATCATTAAGACCTTAATTTATAAACTTTGAATTAGCTAATATTGGAAAATTAAATATAACTTCCGGACTCGATGGTTTAGTGGTATAGCATGCCGCTTTACTATCTGATGGTCGCGGGTTCGATTCCTCGCACGGTACAAACATTTGGATTCATTAGTATGATTGTTTGTATCGGTCTGGGTGTTTTCTATTTATAGTATTTACGTATTATTTAGTGCCCATTACATAAGCTTTAGCTGTCTTAACTTGGGTTTAGATGGCGCTGTGTGAATTGTCCTGAGATTATTATTATTTTTATCTTTAACTTTATTTAGTTTAGTTACGATGGGAATGGTGAAATCGAACTAAACTAATTCACTAAATAATATCGAAATAACAGCATTCTCCCAAAATTCATCTTTAGAAAATATGCAGAAAGCAGGAAATGTAGGTCCTATCAGTATGATAATGGGGTTCCAATTTTCAAATTAATTTACTCATTTCAGCTCAATCTATATACCGGAATGATCCTGGAGAATCAAATCGTACTCGTGAGTTGTGTTTACAAGGAGAAATACTAAACTGTCTAACGGTGTAACATCTCGCATTTCAGGTAAATCTGGCGAGGCCGGGCCGCGCGGCCCGCCGGGCCTGGACGGCTCGCCCGGCTCCTCGGGGGTGCAGGGACCGCCCGGGAAACCAGTTAGTATATATTTCATTCAATATTAGATCCACCCCACACTTACATCATTCATCATCATCATTTCAGCCTGTATCTATCCACTGTTGGATATAGACCTTCCACCAAAGATGGCACTCCAAACCAAAGGAACGACTTATTTATTTTTATTTATTTATTTAATTTAAAAATTACAATGACTTACAAAATTATGACTGTACTAAAAAGCAAGAATGCTTTGTGCGCACACAGGGCCGTATATAATACAATAATTACTTATCTGCTAGATTTATGACAGGTATACAAATCTTATTGCAACTTATTTTACTACTTTTTTAATCAGTACTTAAAAAGCAAGAAACGACTTTGTCTGACACAGGCACCGCTATATACTTTGGCTGAGATCGCCGTAATTTCGATCGTTCGTTGAATTGGATGGGGGTCGATCGGAGGCGCTGTAGGACGTATAAGAAACAGCGAGTACTGATGCAATGAAATATATTATCTTAAACTTTAAGAAGTTACTAGTATGTGTTTATATTGCAGGGTGAAATAGGTCCGAAAGGGTCCAAAGGCGAGTACGGCGACATGGGCTCGCCGGGCATGCTGGGCGCGCCGGGGCTGCCCGGCCCGCCCGGGTACCCGGGCCTCAAGGGGGAGAAGGGGGACAAGGGCGACTCGGTGAGTCACACGCATATATACCGCTCCTATTACTAATTGTTGTTCTAAAACACAACAATCTGTATTACGAATGCAGTATAATAATAAAAATACTCGCATGTATTTCTTTAACAAAATCAGTTATTATTTAAAATAAGAGAATCAACAACAACAACATCGGGCACACTGGCTGAAATCCGTTTAAATAGTTTTATCTATAACTAACTGGCCCGGCAAACGTTATTTGCCTTATGAATTAAAATCGGTATTAAAAAATAGGGGTTGGTGATAGAAGGTTGAAAATTTAGGGTTGTATGTATTTTTCAATAGTAAATCATAATAATATAAAAATAAAGAAATTTGTCAAAAAAATGAATTAAAAAATTCTGGGTGAGCCACCCTTAACACTTAGGTGTATAAAATTAGTTATAAACCTATTCTCAGACCTATTGAATATATATATAAAATTTCATCAAAATCGCTGAAGCCGTTTCGAAGTAGTATAAACGCGAAACCTGTGTCACGAGAATTGTGTGTGGAGTGTGGGGAGTGGACGTGGAGTGGACGCGTGCTGCGCACAAGTAACGTATCGCTGGGGTTTCGTATGTTGCATGTTGTTGGCGGCGTCGCGGCGGCGGTTCCCGACCAGAAGTACAGGAAGCTGAGGAGAAGACAGGTGACTATCCACTGCTACCGGCAACACATTAAACAATCGCACAACCCGCCTCCCGGACACAGATCACGTCAACACTAACCTCATCTAAATTAATAGCCTCAAGAGGATTGAGTTTATCTTTTGTATTACCTAAAAAGCTATATGATAGGCCTAATCATAAAATTAATCATTTAAAAAAAATGAGAAACTACCTGTAATTGCACGTGAGAATCCAGGCGGGTTGCTAGCTGTTATATTAATTAATTAATTCAATATTTGAGTTATTGAAATATATCGGCCATAGCCGGAACCGGAAGTCCTAAGAGAACTGTTAATCTTTATGCCCACTGTTGAACTTGCAGGGAGACGGCACTGGATACGAGCTGTACGGACATGATATTGTAAGTAACATTTTTATATTTATTTATTCAATTCAATTATCAAAAATGCTAGGTCATAAAATGAAATGCATACTAACCCCCTCACTGACTATTCATGATATATATAAAACCATACACAACTTAAGGCGACCTCTTGGAATACTTTGCGGAGAATCGCCGGGTCTTCTACCTCTACCTATGAACTTATACTATATCGTAGCATGTTGTACGTGAGTCTGTCTTATCCCATTTTTTTTTCGAACTATTCTAATGCTGTTTGCCGCAGCTGGCCTTAACAGTTTCACCGAACGATATAAGCGCAGATGGCACTCCAAATCCACGGAAAGATTTATGGAGCGGCTGAAGGTCAACTCCTGCCAGAGGAATACAGTTTAATCTGAGGGTACGGCTGCTGTAATTTCGATTCCCGTTTCAATTCGACTGGGAATATCAATTCCTCGTCGAATGAAAATCGGATGAAAATGAAAAATCGGTCCCCGGTCGCCCCTTCTATCAAGAACGGGGCGACCGGGGACACCATGGTCGAGCGCCCGAGCGCTCGCAGACGCCCGGGTGATTGCTCGAAATGGTGTGTTTGGGGTCGTCGTCTTCGCCAGTGAGGACGGTGTCGTGTGTGTGTGTGTGTGTGATCGGGACGGAACGGGTGGACCTGTGGGGAGGTTAACTACCGTTATGGAGTCGTCGGGATCAATAAGTGCGTAACGTGCTTCGGGCGACGTTGTCGCCTATGTCAAATATCTCTTCTCGGTGCGATCAGTCGACCATACTGACTATAAGCGGGTTAGGGTGAGATTGAGCAGAGTCAAAGTAGCGTCGAACCGCTTTCTTCATGAACTGCTTGATGGAGGGCAGATTGAGATCGTGGTGGAGATCCATGCTTCGAACGAGCCACGGCCCACTAGTGGTTCGACGCAGAAATTTTGGACTAGTTGCGAGTAATAACTGGAAGAGAAGGGCTGAAGATCGTGCCCAGTGGCGTGCCTTGGGAGAGGCCTATGTCCAGCAGTGGACTGCAGTGGGCTGATAATGATGATGTTTTTTAATAATTATGACTTGTGTGAACAAATTATGATAAGTTTTTATATAATGATTGTCATAAATAATATAGATTGCAGACAGGTAATTTAATTTTGTAGAGCAATTATCTGACGAAATCCAAATATTTATCACGTCAATAATAAGCTGACAAGGTATGTACAAAGTTGGTTACAAATGATTACTCGTATTGTGTTGCTTACTCGTATGGAGTAATCTCCGGAACGGACCATACAGCGCCGTTCACTTGCAAACAAGTAAGAGCGACCATTGTTCGACTACCGTCAGCGATAGCTCCTTCATATTAACTGAAAAATTACAAATATTAAAGAATTAAACTTACTTTATTTTACTTAGTATGTTGTTGAGGTCAATTTTTTTTGCCAAGTGTAATCGACGATCGATATATGTATGACGTGGTCCTCATTTGATGAGTGTAATTGTGCGTCCGCAGATGATGGGCCCGCCGGGCGCGCCGGGCCCCGCGGGGCCCCCCGGGGTGGCGGGCCCGCCCGGCATCAAGGGCGACAAGGGCGAGCCCGGCGTGCGCGGGAAAGCGGTGAGTATCTCACACCTTCATAACTCCACACCTCCACACGAGTACACTCGTTCTCGAATGGTCTAACACCTTATAACTCCACACCTCCACACGAGTACACTCGGGAGTTATTCTCGAATGTTCTAAAAGACATTTGGAATCACTATAATAGTACACATCCTATTAGGTACTGCCTACTTGATACTTTAAGATTGATCTTCTCGAGCTCACACTCTGTATGTGTGTCTGTCTGCGGAATATGGTACATTTGCTGATATGCATTTGAAAGCACTAGAAGCTGAAAGTCTATATATATAGGTGAGAGTTATCACGTCGAATCAAGTAGACCGACAGATTGAGTTTCTTGTCAGTTCTTCTAATCTCGAAATCATACCGAACTGACGGTAGATTTGACATATCATAAGAGTCTGTAATAGACCTACTTGAATAAAGATATTTTGAATTTAAATTGTTAGCCATTTCAATTTATGCTACATATTATGAATTCACTATTGTATATATATTTTGTTAGTTATTCATGAATTAATTTTCACTATTATTATGAATTTTTGAATAACTTTTAGAACGAAATCATTATAATGTGTAATTAAATTATTTCAGGGTGAAAGAGGCGAAAAGGGAGACGCGGGTCCCATGGGATTACCGGTAACTATCACTCATAATAATAATTAAAAGGTTCACAATATACACACACACACACACACACACACACACACGCACACGCACTCACACGCGCACACGCGCATACACACTTACACATACGCACGTACACACACATACAAACTACACTTAGTTTACTACTGGTTTTGGCCCGTAAGTGCGGTATACGCCGCAAAGCGTAAAAACCCAGCCAAAATAAGCTGAGAAAACAAAATATACCAATAATAATATAATTACAGCATTTGTTGGTCACCGGCCGATAAATAGTCTGCCATACGGCCAACCTAAGTTAAAAATATCACAATTTCTCAGTACTATCTATTTCCTTCTATATTAGAATCTGGAATGTTACAACGAGTGTGGTCATCGCGTGTGTTGTTATGTATGTAGGATTTTAAACTTGGCGATATGAATTAATGGAAACGAAAAAGTGAATGGATGAGCAAGGACTGTCCTATAGTGAGATCGTTCTTTCTGGTTGTAATTTTTTTTTATTTCAATAAAAGGAGTTGTAGTAGAGACGACCATACTATTATTTGCAAATCCTCATTCCCACATATCTATATAAAATGTTATCATTCCTTCTATTTATATTATCGTGTTGATTATTATTGTTATGGACCTGAAGCAGTCCGTAGCCAAAAACGAGACGGTTTGAGGTCCAAATGAGCTCAGTATTGAGCATAGTCTGCTACCATAACGGGTATCGCCATCATTGTAGGCCTAAGTAAACTGGCCAATCGATATTTATATATTATAAAAATATATAAATTTCGAGCTGATTAATAATATTTTTTTATTTATGAACATGTTCCAGGGACCGGTGGGTCTGCCGGGTGAGCAGGGCCGGCCCGGCGACATCGGCGCGAGGGTGAGCACACGCACGCACTGTTGTTTCCTGTAGTTTTTTTTATATTAACACGCACTTCGTAGTGTCGTATTAAAATATTAACAATATTAACCAGCAATATTTGTAGAATATTATTCAGTACCCACTGTACCTGTGCATATTCTCCCAGTATAAAAATAATTAGTGACATTGTCCAGTTGCACTGTTTCACGTGTCAATAGCTGCCTTTCCACGCGCGAATCGACTGTCACGGCAAATAATGCGCATGTAAATGTAGAAAAGAGAACGACATATGCGCGTCGCCTGCTCTCGCGCATTACTAATCTTCAATCGAGCGTTCATTAGCGCCTTTTTATAATAATTAATTGACATTGCAAAATGGCGGACATCTAACCATGGAGCAAAGACAATTATAGAGTTATTGATAATTTATAAACCTTAAACTTTGGAAAATAAAATCTGGGAATACAAAATAAATAAATAAAAAAACTAATAATTGCATGAAACGTACGCGCCATCACGCGCCAAAGAGTGACCACAGAAAATAGTAAAATGCAATCACTCACGATTGCGTGCGCAATCAAGCGCTTTCCCGCGCTAGTCGAGCGCGCTCCTGACCGCGCGTGAAAAAATGTACCGCGTAAAGGCATCTAATACGGTCGCGTCTGTCGTACCGCTCTGTCCGCGGACTGTACAACTTCCTGTAACGGATGCGACGAAACAGTCGCCGTGTTAGTAGAGAGCGAGCCGGGAGCGTGCACGGGTACAGTGGTGGGTAGTAGTTGGTGGGTACTAACCTGGCGCGGTGTGGGCGCAGGAGAACCGCTGGCCGCCGGACTTCGCGTTCACGTAGTGGCGCGGCGCGAGGCCGCCGCCTCCCCCCCGCCCCCGCCCCCGCCGCCCCCGCCGCCCCCGCACACGCAGGCGCAGGCGCCGCCCGTGCCCGCCCGCACATACTTGTAAATTGTAATATTTGTACGTATCCCTCTAGTCTGTAATTAAATCTTAACAGTAAGCGATTCGTAATATAAAACGAAGCGAGTGGTTACCAAACTTAATGCTAAGCGTTATACGACGTACGGAAAGATGATAATATTTTTAACTAAACTGCCGGTCGGTCGGAATCTGTAAAATTTAGAATGCTTAAGGAACGCTTGCATTTTCGTTTTGGCGGCACACGTTCGAACGAAGCAACCATCACTTTAATGAGTATTGGACGGAAATGTGATATGTGAATTAAAATAATGATGTATAAATATCACAACATTCTACTTATAATGAGCCAGTTTATGAGCAATTTAATAAATCATTTACCTATGTGGTCTGCATAAAGCCACACTTCACTCACATATGCGAGTAACACATACAAAAGTGTGATCATATTTTTCCCTAACGTCCAATTTAGTATGTATAGTGTGGCGTGTTCCCGATGCCTGCTTTCTTCCGGTGTAGCACGCGAATGCAGTTGCTGCGTTGCTGAATGCTACCAGCTGCCGGCCAATTGTTTGAAATAATCGTTTCAACTACGTTTATTTCATGTCTTAATCTAATGTGTTTTTTAAATTTCATTACCTCTCTATCTCTCTACTCTACAAATTTTCCGACAAAATCTCATGCATTCTTCTTTCATCTTTCACTATTTTTTTCTTTAACGTTAGTTTCTTACATTGGGTCCAAAAACTCTTCGGTTGCTTTACGACCTGTCCTGAAATCTTCCGCCTGAACGATCCTCACCCTCGTTTCCATGGCATTGAATGCGAGCGTTTCTTACATTAATCTGTCATTAGCTACTATTAACTACAGTGTGTTGGGTTAAGCACATTGGTCCTCTATACAAGTTTGATAATTAACCGCTAGATCAGTTATTGTTATAGTATGTATATTGACATACTACTCATGTCTACTTATGTATCCATGAGTGTTAATTTTCGCATTTATTCCTTTTTATCCGATGGACTGTTCACGCGATCGCAGTAGGTATTGCGTTAACGAGTTACAGATTCTGACTGTTATTGTACAATAGAATGCTAACCTTTTGTATTTTATAACTTTAGAATATGTACCAACGATCAGAGTGACTATTTTTAAAGTATTTGTATATTTGGCAAATTATTCTAAAATGAGAGAATGGGTGCCAAGTATTGATGTAAGTGATACCTCACTAGGTACTTGTAAGTACGTATATATATGATAAGATATCGTCGGACATTTTGTATAGGTAGGTATCTTAAATCGTTTGTGATATGAGAGTGTCGTTAAGTAACATGTATATTTATATCTGTCGTTTACATTCGTGTGTATAAACGAGTATCTCGTCATATCTTTCAATATTGTAACTACTCCTATTATAAGTATTTATTCAATTGCCCAATTTCTTAGATTACGCCTCTTTGCCTGTTTATTATCATTATATTTATTAATGTCTCCTTTACTCGTATGTATTATTATGTATTACCTGTAAGTATTACGTAGAGCCAGCGGCCACGCGGTCGCGAGGCGTCGCCCGCCCGTCTCGTACGCATGCGACCTCGGACGTACTCGTGCGGACGCGTGCGACCTCGGACGTACTCGTGCGGACGCGTGCGACCTCGGACGTACTCGTGCGGACGCGTGCGACCTCGGACGTACTCGTGCGGACGCGTGCGGACGACGCCGCCCGCCGCGCGCCGCGCCGCACCCGGGTGTTACCGTCCCGAGGGGGCGCGCACCGCGCCCGCCTCATGTATTAAGAATATTGTACGAGTATCTTTACCTGTACTGTACCTACATTAATGTTGACTCGTGTGTATTGATCTTTTATCATCGACTACTACTTATTCATCGTTCTCTTGATGTATTATAATAATTACTCGTCGACTCGACACTGTATTATAATTGTGAGCGTTTAGGAAGGCTCGAACGCACTGAGACATCGGTGCGCGGTCCTCGGACTGTGGCTCCACCTAAATAATTGATGACGCCACGCTTATCCGATGGCACGACAGTTATTGTTGTTGTCTGTACATCCTGCGCGTGCGAATAATGTTTCAATTTTACTAGAGATAGCCTACCTCACCGCACCGCACCACACCGCACCGCAGTGATGTCTCATTGCGCCCAGGAGATGAACCTCTTCACAAATGTACAAAAAAATATTGACGATTATTTAGGCTAGGACTGATCGCGTCCCCCTTCGCCGCTGAAGCGCGTACCGTTGCCTCCACCGACGGAGGGGGAGCTCTTTTTGTAATTAAGGTTCATACCATTGTTATTATCATTTCTAATCTAAGACATCCTTGGATGCGCTTCTGAAGTACATTCACATATATAAACTGGCCTGACCAGTGCACAACTTTACAGTTAAACGCAGACTCCGTTGGACTTCAGACGAGCATTGAAGTCGAGCGTACAGTACAATGCTGTGTGTGTGTCAACAACACTAATGTGTGTAATAACCTAATACAGGAACTTGCATCAATTTCAAATCACACCATCCTATTGCTAATGCAGTCGGTTAGTTTTGATCATTTTGTAATGTAAGTACATGGAAACTTGCTGCATTCGATGAGAGCGGAACGTGCGGCTCGTCCGTCGTCGCCGCGCCGGTCTGATCGTTCCTTAACTACTACTAGCTTAGTTTACTTACCATATATATACCATAGAAAATATGATTCAAAATTAATAAGATAATAATACACAAGTATATAGTCTATCCATACGTGCAGCACAGTATCCGTGTACACGAAATCTGAAATGTATCATCATTTTGATGTTCATGGTCATGTAATTAATTTTACACGAAAATTGTTAAATTGTTAGTTGATGTAAAATCATTTTTTATCTTACCTTTCCTTTACTGGCATCAATATTGCTCCAAATTCTCTTTGGCTTGTTAAATTAATTTGAAAATATGTACATAACAATGTGTATTATTTTTGAGCAAATCCATGTTATTGTGTTATATAGTAATTTTCAGAAAATACGAAAACGGAAAGTACTTTTAAACTGGCCACAATATGCATGTATGTGTCGGTGTGGTAATGTTGCCAGTGAGGGTGATGTGAGCTGAAATACGAATATTGTTGATTATTTTGGCGACCGAACGTCAGCTGCCGCTGCTAAATAAATTAATTTTATTTTTAACAAACTGGAAAGTTGTCATTTGTACCATAATATAACGTCAACAGAGCATAAATTATTGTTGTTTACAAATTATTTTGAATGAAAATAAATATTTGCATGCTGTGCATATTGGTCTTTCTCTTCGACTCGTACCCTCCGGCTGCCCTGTCTCACCTCTTGGCCGCCCGTTCTGCCGTCCACTGTCTCCGCTCGCGGCATCACTCGCATGGCGGTCCGCCGGTATGCGCCGCATGCTGGGCCCGGCGCCGCACCCTCGTCTGCATGCTGATATTGGCGATTCACTCCCCGTAAGGCTGTGGCTGACGTGTGCCGTTGTTCCGCAGGGACCTCCCGGACTCGACGGCATGAAGGTGAGTCTCCGCGTGCCCGAGGCGGCGCTGCGCTACACCATACCGCCCGCGACTGTACCCACCCCACCCCTACCCTACTACCTCTGTACTACCTGTATTGTACTTAATCATATTTAAAGTACACCTATTAAAAGACACATGAGTACTTCGACAGCCTCGATGGTCGGTGGCGGGTTCGATCTCTCGCACGACACATACATTCTTATTCACTGATATGAGTATGATTGTCTGTGTTGGTCTGAGTGTTTTTTATTGTATTATACAGATATGTATTTATAAAGAATATATTTCTGTCAGTTGTCTGGTATCCAAAGTCTGCTTAGTTTGGACTAGATGTGAATTGTCCTGGTAAATTATTTTATTAATTAAAAAATAATTTCTAATACTAAAACCGGAATATTTTATCCACGATCAAAAGAAAGCTATATGAGTAATATACTCATAACCAAGTGGATGTGAGTTAGGCCAACAGAGATCCGCTTAGATTGCCATATATGTATATTATTAGAGGGCCATATTCGGTTAATTAATGTTTCATTATAATATATTTTTGTCGTTGTCGTCATCACTTTCTTTCATAATTTTGCATACGTCTTGTGAACCGTTGTCGGCTGCTGCAGGGAGCGCAAGGTGAGCCGGGTTCTAAGGGCGAGCGAGGAGACCCAGGACTGCCAGTACGTCACAGTTATTTTTTTCTTAACATTATGATATTGTGTCTTAACTGCAGACTTCAATAAATTAACGCACCAATTGCCTCCATTTGCAGGGAACCGATGGCATTCCCGGACAAGAGGTCAGTTACAATAAAATATGCAATGTGTACTTTAATAACAAGTAGTCGCCAAACATTAAGAGTAGTGTACACGTAAGACGACTAATCGATATCTCCTCGATAGGGCCCGAAGGGAGACAAGGGCTACAAAGGAGAACCCGTAAGTAGCGGAACGACAGGCGCTTCATTCATGCATCTACCTAATTTTCTTGGCATAACGCATGCACTAACTACTAATACGAGGGTATGAAAACTAAATTTATTTACAAAATACTTTAAATGTTACCAGTCGTCGGTACAGTGAACAGTCACAGCTTGTGATGCTCTTATTTCAGGCATCGTGTTAAATATATATTATAGTATACCTCGTAGTGTGCAGTGAGGTAACAGCGCGGACCGTGGTTGTCGGCAGGGCCCGGCGGGCAAGCGCGGCCGCAAGGGGGACAAGGGGGAGCGCGGGGAGCAGGGCGTGCCCGGACTCGACGCGCCCTGCCCGCTCGGGCCCGACGGCCTGCCGCTGCCCGGCTGCGGCTGGCGGCCCAGCAAGGTACCTCGCCACGCTTCCTATGTCCCATTCGTCGTATTATACCTAATCATCCTTTCTATGTATCGACCGACAGACCGTCCTATTGGCTGCCTTTACAGGTACGCTAATTTAACACGCGTATAGGCTTTCACACAAGAAATAATTTACCTTCTTTTTCGTTCTCTTAGCCTACTAAGAGAACTAAAAAGAAGGCACGCGCCGCCAGCTCTCGCGTTCTTCAATCATTATCATCGCAACACTGCTACAGTCAGTAGAGCGAAGACAAAAGTATACAATTTATAATAATTTATAAATTAATACGCGTCTTTAGAAAATAAGATCTTTAGAATAATAAAGAAAATATTAAAAGAAAGTAAAATTACATGAAACGTTCACGCAATCACGCGTGAAAGAGTGATCACAAATGGAGTGAAATGCAAATCACTCGCGATTGCACGTACCGACTTATCCGCGCTGAGTCGCGCGCTTTCCGCTTTCCTGATCGCACGCGAAACAATGTGTCGTGTGAAGGCAGCGGTCACGCGTGACGCCCGGCGTCTTAACGCTGTGGAAAGAAATGTACATGATATGAATCTCTGGATTCTCATTCCCTAAGGAAAAGAAGTTAACGCAGTTGTGAGGCCAAGAAGCAGGTAATATGTGATATGTAATGTACTATTATAAACGAAAGAGTACCTCAAAGGTGCAGAGATAGAGTTAGGTTCCGGTTGGGTGACTATAACACGATATTTGGTCGCGTCAGAGAACTCGCGTATGACGCTTGCAATATAGGTTTGAGCTGAAATGATGATGATCAGAATGATAATTGTACAAGTCAAAGGGCACTGTGTTCACGTAACGTACAAAGTATTACGAGTATAGATACACTGTTAATTCCTAAGTAACTAATGACGACTGAGAAGACATCATTTTTACTTAATTCGCAACAAGTGCCTAGTAAGTTCATAATCACTGACCTACACCAAACAAATTGAATTCATAGCTTTTTAATAAAGGGCTTCAGCACTAGTAGCTAGCTGTGTGGTGTTCTGAAATTTTAACAACGGAATGCTTAGTGGTAGTTTAGTAAAGCAATCCAACCTAAGGTGGTGGTGGCCACTAACTATGAGTCCCCCGTGTGGCGGCGCGCGCAGGAGGCGGCGGGGGCCCGCGAGGAGGCGGCGGGGGGCCGCGAGGAGGTCGCGCCGGACGACGCGTCCGACGAGGAGCCCGAGCCCGACGCCGGCGACGAGTACGACCGCGACGACGAGCTCGACCCGCCGCGCGACTACGACGACTACGCCGACAACACGCACCACCAACACCACCGCCACTGACCGGCCCACCCCCTCTCACCCCCGCTCACCACCGCTCACCCGCGTCTCCACCGTCCCGCGCCCTCTATCGATCCTCCACTCTTCTACTCTACGCTTTTATGTTCTTTACAGTTGTATAACTTATACGGTTTCCGATTTCCATAGATTGATAATGATGGGTAGTCGCCGGTGACGTCGATTGTACACGTCGTGAATATAAGTATAGCGGTGTGCCAGTGCGCATGCGTGCGACCACTGGTCGTCGACGCTTATATAATGCTCCCCGATGAGTTGGATTCATATATGTATGTATGTATCCGACGACACCACACATGAAAGAACTAGAGACGACACTTGCAGTCAGCGAGCGTTATACGACTAGTATTAATTTTTATTTTTTTGTCAGTATTTCTTTTATCGAAGAGTCGGCTATAAATATAAATTGACACGTTAAATTTGTTTTAACTCGTACTCACATCTTTTTGGGGGTTATAAACTTCTGGGCGACGTTACCAGATACTTCTATGGACTGACTATATACTATACATATGTATCCATATAAGACACCTGCTAGGTTTTTGGCTTGAAACTGTTTTAACTAAATATAATTTCTAACTTATAGATTTTCTTCAATTACTAATCTCCGTTAAATTCTGGTTTCTGGCTTCACTTTCTTGTGGTCGGTGGTGGTTGTTTTCACTGTTGTCCTAACAAACGAAGTGAGTTTCCGTTACTTACTATGGTGACATACAGAAGGCATGCCAATTAATATTATTTATGTAGCAGTAGTGTAACTAAAACCTATTTGTACTAACTTACAGCTACACACTCACAGTCATTCATTACATTCACAACCATACACACGTACACACTGATCGATTTTTTGCCAAACGGAAGAGAAAACGCCACTAAACATCCTTGTGGTTGTAGCTCATATTCATAAACGAAATATCTCATTTAGAAACTACATATTTTCTGAGGAGATAAATCCCATTGCTGCTAAGAATATTCTTCAATCCTTGTAACTGACGGCTCTAGGCAGCTCCAGAAGAAAGGGCGAGCACAATGGATCTTTGTTGGTCGCAGTGATACAGGTTTAAGGAACCGCGTAGTCCAAACTCCTTAATAAAAAACATACGAATTGTAGAAAATGAGCTGCAATACAGCTTTACAGTGTAACTAGAAGGTATAATAATTGTTTTGACACACAATATACGTTTGTTTGTTACAAAATTATAAATAAACGGAATATGTGAATTAATTGTGAATGGTCGGTGTGGTCGTACAGGAGGCGGTGCTGCAGTGGGTGCGGCGCCGCCTGGACGTGGACAACGACCTGCCCGTGTGAGAGCCGAGGCCGCGACGGTCACCGCCGCACCGCCGTCACTACGGTCACCGCGGTCACCCCGGTCACTGCGGTCACCCCGGTCACTGCGGTCATCTGATCACTGCGGCGTCGCTGCCACTCGCCGCTGTTGCTGTTCCACTGTTGGTTGCACCCAACGTTGATTGGACAGTATCAAATTACATTATCTATGTATACGCCGCCATCACAGTTTCATTGTGAATACGACTGAGTAATATTTTTATTGTATTCCTGTAGTCATAGCTGCCGGTACTCATAGCCTACTTTAGTATACCTTATTTTATTGTCGTCGCATGTTTTATTACAGAAACTACATATCTCTCGAAATAAATTATGCGATAATAATACCAATGAGTAGGTATAGTAATACGGTTGCCAACCACAAATTTAAACACCCAGAATTTGAAGTTAGATGAAACAGGAGAATTCAGTTTAAAAAAGGACGCAGTAATATTGTAGTAGTTAAATTAACATGTAAAAATATGTGACATGAATTTAAGTAATAACAATAATATATTTTTTTAATAAAAATATTTTAATAACTTCATATATAGTTATAGTTTTGAAATTTATAAACCCAGGACGCTGCTTGAAAACTATTCAGGGCCTCCCGTGACACTAGAAAAACTAGGACATGTCCTGAGAAAACAGGACGGTTGGTAACTCTAATTTATGAATGTTGTGGGGCATACCGAAACGTGTCGTTAAGTTGACAGATAGTGTTGTACTGTATTTGACTCTGTATAAAGTATTTTTTTCAATTTTATCATTCAGAGCGCCAACGCCAGCTGCGTCGTTCGCTAAATTGTTTTCCCATGTAGTAATGGTATTAGTACGTTGGCTGCCCACAGAAAGAGAGGAATTAATAACTATCAGAGATTATGAAGATGTTTCCAACTTTCCTAATTACAGTCGGCTCATGGCGCGGAGTAGTTACACCAATATTTAATGTTTATGTCCTTATCTGTTAGGCAATGTATGCAATACCGTCTTTACCATAAGGGCACACGGGGCCCGTGCCCAGGGCCCCCATTCTCAAGGGGCCCCCGAAGGACTGTCCATTTTTCTTACACATATATTCTCAAAAGATTTTTGTCGGGCACACTACACTTTTTTCACAAATCAGTAATGTTATCAGAAGGTGTGTATCAAGGCCATGCCATGAAATATATACTACGCCATTATATCGATTACTCCGCCTATTCCTATGTTCTTATACCTAGCCTACCCCAGTTTTTTTTTACTTTCAAAAAGGGCCCCGAATTCTTGTGTGCCCAAGGGCCCCAGCCTAGTTTAAGACGGCGGTGAATGTATGTCAGACATATGTATGAATTCCTCTTATTTCTCTCTTGATTCTTATTCAACTAGATTGGTGCAGTTGGTACCTAAATATATTCAATGTCTACTATAATTGACCTCTGGTCAATAGTACATATACTTGATGTGCTGAGGGCAGGATGTAGGTACGGGGCTAGTCCTAACAAGTAGACGCTTGACGCATCAAAACTCTCCTAGGTAACTAGCTGCTAGCTAGCTAGCTGTGTTGGGACGACCAATGATATGTCTAATATATAATAATTTACAGTTTTCACCGTTCATTGGGAATGCAATAATTATCTACTTGTACCTCAAAGTATACGACTCTCGATTCTCGACTAGTTATAAGCACAGTTTTAACAATCGATCTCTTCGCTTTTTATACATACACTTTACCACATCCCGTCCAATTCAACAACGGGGATCGATATTACGACGACCTGAGCCGAGGTTCGAACCCCTAGCGGTGCCCTCAGACTAAAGTCGTATCCGTCAGGCGGGAGTTGGCCTTCAGCCGCTTCATAGATCCTTCCGCGGGTTTGGAGTGCCATCTGCACTCGCCCCCTATCGTCCGATGAGGCTGTAAAGGCCAGCTGCGGCCAACTGCATTAGAGTAGTCCGGAAAAAACTTTACCTCACATCCTTTGCACGAGTGCGTAGACAACAGACGTGCATTTCTATGTATTTAATGCATCGTTATATATTGCATTGGGTATACAGAAATGTAAAATAGTATAGTTTTAAAGAATGTAAATAGCTGAAAATATAATATAGGTGCGAGTATTTTGAATATAACTAATTTTTTATGTAAGTACAATTTATAAAAAATGTAGTTTAATCTAGGTATATAAATAGGTAGTGATAGTGCAGCGAGAAACTTTCCACTTAAACCTCAAGTCCTCGCTCGCGTCATCTCGTCTCCATTAGCGACATCGCTAGTACGAAGGTTTTAGTACAGGCGCGCTCTACAATCGACACAAGTGCACAATCGACGTTCGTGAAGCTAATTTCGATAGTACCTACCTACCTATATATTACCTAGGTATACCCATAGTGTCTAGGTATACCTGTCTGTGACACTCTTACAATTTACACTTCTTACTAGCGATATCGTGACGGCGATGTTATTTTGATAGAGAATTTACCGAGGACAGTATGTGCTGAGTAGAGATAGGTGTGTAACTCGAAGGTGACAACGATGTGGTCATCATTATGTACCTAGTACCATAATAACCCCAATACTTTAGAAACTCAACAGAAATCTACCCCAAACAAATTAATCAGACAGGTCCTGACATATGAAGTCAAACAATTGCTTTCTAATTACGTAAAATTTGAGAATTGTATCTTACTGAAATGAAAGAGTGTAAATGGGCGTTCTTATGAATGAGCGTGTAGAGTCCCGAATTAAACTGAATGTGACGAACAAAATATAGATAGACCGGCCTTATGGACGGTCATCTGGTCTGGTTAGTGAATGAGAGAATCGATTCAAACCATATACCGGTAACTGCGCACTTGAACAATGTCACGCGACTAAATATGTATTGAATATATGTGTATGCTGCTATGTAGCAAAACAGCGAACTTTAATAATGTTGTAAATACTTATTAGTTTCAAATGTTTGTTTATATTATACATATTAGCTTACCCAGTATGTAGTATATATGGAATAATATTTATTTGTTGAATGATAAAACAGGGTACGGAGGCATGTCTCCTTACTCCTCCATAAGGTCAGCTTATCAGTGCATAAGGCACCGCTTGAGCTCGTAGGTATACAGACGAGCAGCGACCAGCAGGCGTTACCACTCACCGTCAGGTGTGCCGCCAGCTCATGTCATTGGGTCATTCCAGTTACAAACAAGACCATTACGTCTGGTGTGTGTTGTAATTGTAATGTACGTAATGTGCGGACATATTGTTATAACTTTTATATATTTTTGTAATTATAAATTATGCGACTGTATAAATTATAATAATTTAATTGTACTTGAACTGTAAATAAATAATATAATAGCTATTTTTATCATGAGCGACTTTTTTATTTTTATTCACCGTCTCCCCGGTCCCCAGTCTCCGCCGTCACCCCGGCACTTGTATCCACGATCCACATTGGAGCCCCATCTGGATTCCTAAACTAATGAATACAGCAGAATAATATTTATAATTTCGACATTACTGTCTGTATATAATAGTAAATCTTTTTGAAAGCATTATTGTTCAAAATGCTAATGATATAGATGTCGCTGTAGTACAGTGGTAGTACCAACAATGCCTCAGATAGTGGGTAGCTGCAGACATTAATTGATCGAGTTTGAGATGATCCGACACTTATCTGTGTTCTAAGATTAATAGATGTGCCAGTTACCTAACTAGTCGGACAGTACGGTTTCAAGTAAGTTTCTTTGCACGCACACTCAGATTGTGAAATTAATTGTCGAGGTTCTACCTAGAGACTACACCATGGAATATTTTAAGAAAGGTTATATTAAGACTTCTTAAGGGTCGGCATATCCCGATAACTAATGGCATATCAAATGGGCCGTTGATTGCCACAACGGTGGTATAAAAAAAAAGCTAACAGCTCAAATTGTTGACCAATCATCATCAAAAGAAAGAAAGAAAATAGTTAATTTGGTACCTAACAATATTAACATTAATTTTTAAATTACATTATATAGGTTTATATTAATTTCATAGTACCTATCACCACTGTTAATGTTCCTGCAAGTTCTCTAATCCAGATAAAGCGTCGAAAGTATCTTGCCGAATAACTACACTTTACGAGCACCGTTGCATTATCACCCTTAAAAAAACTACACTTTAGGTAGGTATCTCTTATTACATTTACTTTCAAATTCGTTTCATATAATCACATTGAATACAAACGCCTATCTAAACGAAGTCTAGCAGGGAATATTCTGTCTCCTTCGCACCGTTCCCTGGTGTCGTATGTCCTGCTCACATAGATTATGTCGTTTTAAGAACCGATATTTAGGATTATAAAGAATATTTTTTAGAGAACTATTTATTTTTTAGTATTTACTAGATTCAGTAGATTTTTTTTATGGATGATAATAGAATGGTGCTGCATGCGCCAACGGTTAACGACGGCGGGTCACCAGTGGAGGATGATAAGATGAACATGAAGTCAGGCCAGTTAGCCCATAGTGGCAAATTCACCAAGAATTTCCAAGAATTTATCACGATGGTTTTCAGGGGGAACCGTGTGGAGTAACCCTTTCCCACTTAGGCCGCATATTAGACATGCGCATTACATGTTAGCCCTCTGTGTGTGTTGTCTCATCACAACATATATACGCTTCAGTGATGAGGATAATCACCGCGCTACAAGTCACTTAACATACCTTCTTAGGGCCCAATATTACTTGACATTTATAAGAAATCAGGATAAATGATATTACTTTGCTGCTCCAATTATTTGACTCGATTAAGTTTCTTTGACTGGATGGTGTTTTCTTGCCAATACCTAATAAATAATATTACACCTTTGAATGACATTCAGTTGAGCTGTCGTCTGGTACGTCAATCTCATTTTTACTTCTTGTGCTTTACGCGTCAGTCACGGCATGTTCAGTGTTGCCACCTTCGTGGTTGCACCAATAAATTTGGTGAGTTTGTAAAATTTGTTTCATTTTAGTGAGTTAATGTTAGATAAACAAAAGTTTTGTTTTCATAAAAAATATATAAATAGACATCGATTTTTTATACCACGATTGTGCCAAATAAGTTTAGTAAATGATAATATTTATGACGCGAAAGTGTATAAGTAACACGTATTAGTAACATATATAATACGTATTATAACAGTTTTGATAGGAAAGTCCCTAAAGCACTCATATTTTCGGAAACAAAGATTTTATAAAATGACAATTGTATTGGTTGAATTCTTCTTTCTTCTTCCGATAAATTCCTATTATAATTTCTTTATTTTCAGGCTATTTTGGCCATTTAGAGATAATGTTACACTACTACTAACTAACATTAACTCTAAAACTTTACTAGTGCAGACACAAAAACGCACACGAAAATAATAATAACAAAAATAAAGTAAAAATAATTATGACCGCTGTATAATTCCATTGGAGATAGCACGGCAATGATCAATGAAACAAAAGTATGACAAAATTATCTCTGACAGTATTTTTCGATAAAATCATTTTTTAAATGAGTGCATTTTTACGCAAAATTATAATTTAGTGATATTTTGTGATTGCATGAAGATACATTAAAAACTTTTTGTGATTTCTGCCTAGTGGACACGTCCAAACATTGTTAGCAACACTGGTCACGTCAAGTTATGTCAATGTCACTAAGTGGCTGTACGGTGCGATATGTGTAATATTTATTTTGTATAAAAATATAACAATTATTTGTTTAATGTCATTGTTTTTAATGAACATTAGTTTGAGTACCTACTATAAATGTATAATTGAAAGTATAAGGTTGCCTGCAAATGTAACGTGTGTGTCATAATAACTGTGGTGTGATTGTGTGATTGGTGTTATCTGCTGGCTGCGCTAGCTACGGTGACTTCCGTACAGTTCACAATAAGGAAAATTGTAAATATATGTTCCCGAGCACATGCGAAGCGACCGAGCAAATGCGATTTGTTTCTGTACGCACACATAGACGCGAGCGCTAGCGTCACACCTCGGAGCCGATAATTGGAGAACTGTAATCCCGAATTCGAGGAAAAAATCCTTTAGTTATGTGTTTTTATAGGTGATTGATAGTTTTGAAGGAGTAGACTGTATTATATTTTGGTTGTAAGTGTCGTCGAAGTGAGGGTGATGAGTGTGCCACTGACGTGTAATGATGTGTCGAACTATGACCATGCCGCCGTGCTACATGGTTGTCATGCTAGCGCTGTTGGCGGGTGTACGTAGCACGCCGCTCGACTCGCTGCGACCTGTGTGCCCCCCCACCGCCCAACAAAACTGCACCTACGAACAATCTTCAACATCCTATGAACACTTTTACTCGATTAATGGTAAGGAACATGTACACCCACGGGCTACATCACATAACACGGTCATTTGTTGATCATCATATTTCCGCTTCTGTTCATAAGTCAGAACTACAGAAACATTTAATTATGTTTAACAATGACAAGATTTAACTTTTCTGTCTGAGTATATTATTGTATGACTAATCTGCTTCCTTACTAAATTCTAATTGTATGCCTAATATGATTTGTGCTGTTTAGTAGTTTGTTATCACACAAAATTATAGTTATCTAAACTAAGTTTGATAATCGGGCAGGGCCAAATAATTTGCAACTATGAGATTATAAAACAATATGGCCACATTTGTTGCTCACTGTGATGTACTCCTGGGTATATTTGATTTGTGTGTTGTTTATTTAGTCACATAGGCCACAACTATACAAAATTGAATTAAAATTATAGCAATGTAAACAGTCAATTCAATCAAACAATTCAATGTAAACAAAGAACTAAATTAATTCTTTATATTTACATAGAACACAAAGCAAGATAATTTGTTATTACACTGTTTTAAATTTGAAGAGGTCATTATTTATATGTATAGTTAGTAAAAATCATCAAATCTCACCACATTTTATATTTATTGAGTTCTTGATTTTTCAACCGCTATGATCACGGGTAAATTGTTTCAATAAATATAAAATGTAATATAATAATAATAATAAGCTCAGGATAATTCACACAGCACCATCTAGACCCAAGTTAAGCCATGTAAAGTGGTATGCTAGACCACATAGGTCATCTAGCGGTGGTAAGATACTGTGATTTTTACCAATTACAGTCAACCCTCCTATAACGCGGTACTCTCAGAACGCGGTTTCCATATAACGCGGAGCTGAAATTGCGACAGCCCTCCTATAACGCGGTACTCTTACAGCGCGGTTTCCGTTCAACAACGTCCCATCAGTTCTTTCCGTGCACCCAATGAATGGTTTTAACTGGATATGTTTATATCAGTGTGGTTCACGGGTGGGTGGTTCTCCTCATGCGCTATCTTCCACTTCTATTAACTAAATAGTTTCGCATCGACAGCGTGCCATGCGTGTGTGTGTCTAACGAAACTGTAACATGAAAGATATATATGTGATCTTTTGACTACATTGTCGCGTGAACTATAGAAAAACTACGTTCTGCTTATGTCTTAGCCGCTTAAAACCAATGTGAAGATCAACCAAGTGAGGAAGACATTTTGCCCATTAAAAGAAGGCGAGTTAGGCGACTCATATCTGACAGTGAGGATGAGTGTTGAAAGATTACATCATTTTACAAAAGTCTTTCTTTTGTTTTTGTTGGAAAACAGTTTTTTAGTTTAGTTTTTGTTTCATTCATCATTTCATCATTTCCTTATTTTTATTGAATTGAAGAGTTCATACTCTTCAATTCAATAAAAATAATTTATAATTTATCTTGTCTTTTGTATTTATTGGTCTCCATATAACGCGGTACGAATGATGTGATTTGTACTTATTCTGAGTCTCTTATAGCGCGGTTTCCATACAACGCGGTAGACGGTTTCCATAGAACGCGCTACGAATTAGCCTGGTTTGTACGGTTAAATCCGAGTTTCTTATAGCGCGGTTTCCATACAACGCGGTACGCACTCACCGCGTTATAGGAGGGTTGACTGTATACATATAATTTGTTAATGTTTCATGTCATATCATAATATTTAAAAATGGGCCTTAAGACTTTACAAATTTTCATAGAATATGTTGTTAAGTATGGATCAACATGTACATGTACATGTAAAAAATTTTGGAAATATTACCCTCATCTTAATTTGTTGATTGTGACATGTATTTTTTTTATGAGGGTTGATAATGGAATGGTGCTATCGCCTGCACTAACGGTATACGCTGGCGGAGCACCAGTGGAGGATGATAAGATGAGCATGGTCAGTTCAGTTAGTCAGCCCATAGTGACAAATTCACATTGAGGAGATCAACCTGATAGGTACTAAACATTGCTAGCAATGGCGTTATCAATCCACATTACTAACAATCCAAATTAAATGTGCATGCAAAGTCAGGGACACCACTGGTACCAAACTTGTCTGATTAACCTCTTCATGTACTGTGTCAATTACCTTAGGTTACAATATATTCATCATGTGCAGAGTGCTAATAATGATATTTTTATATGTTCCAGGTAATAATGTACGAATAATATTTAAAGATGGAGATTTTTTTAAACTGATTTGCAATAACATAAAATTAGACAAATCGATACTGCCATCGTTCGCACGACACGTAGTAGTTCACACGGTGACTTTCAAGAAGTGTCCACCGCCCGACATCAGTTATGCAGAGTTATTTGCGGCTCTCAACGTCTCGAAGCCGCGGGAGCTGGTGCTCAGCAACGTGCCACCCGAGCCTCGGCTGAGAGCGTCTCATTTCATCGACATCACTCTAGAGAGGCTCGAGATCGAGGCGAGGAGAAACGCGTCGCAGAAGCTGGACGCGGAGCTCCTCTCCTTACTGGACGGCGGTCCCGGCAAGCTGTACCTCACGAACGTGAAGCTCGACCGCCTGCCGGTAGGAAGGAGGGACTTGCGCGTGACGAACGCCGGAATCGAAAGCCTCCCGATAGAGGCACTGGAGAAGTTAGAAACGCTACACCTGGACGAGCCGTATCTCACGGACGTGCGCAACCTGTCGGAGGCGCCGCTGCTGAGCAAGCTGAGCCTGACGGCGCCGGTGCGCGAGGCGCCGAGCCCGCCGCGGCTGAGCGACCTGTTCCTGTCGCTGTGGCAGGAGGCGCGGCCCGGCCGCCGGCGCGGCTGCGGCCGCCTGCGCGCGCTCACCGTCACCAGCGCGGCCGCGCGCCGCCTGCCCGCCGCCTGGCTCGCCAACTGCAGCCTCCTCCGCAACCTCACGCTGCAGCGCCTCACGTGGCTCGAGGAACTTCCCTCCGATCTCCTGCGCGACGCCGCCAACCTCACCAGGCTCACGATGCAGAGCTGCAACCTCGAAGCGTTACCGGAAGAGTTCTTCTCGTTTTCCTCGAATCTCCGCGTGGTCAATCTGAACTACAACAGATTGAAAACCTTACCGAGGTAACGACTCTCTACTGTGATCGCGACGTCCTGTGATTTTCATTTTCTTAACGTTTTTCAAATGAGTGTGAAATAGCACTATAAATATACTCGAGTGTAGGATCGAATTTTGCAATGAAACTTAAAACATATATATATTTAACAGTGACATACGATCGCAGAGAGTCGGCCCTCTCAAAAACGGTGATACCGTTTCGTTTGTAATATTTCAGCAAGATTTCATCACTACAACAATTGGAAGAGTTGTCGCTGTTGCACAACTCGCTGACATACGAGATCGCACCGGTGCTGGCGCCGCTGACGTCGCTGCGCAGGCTGGTGCTGTCCATGAACCCCCTCGGGGACCTGTGCGGCGCCCGGCCCGCGCCCGGCCTGGCCGCCGCGCTCGACATCCGCGGTGAGTGATTACGTCAAGCGCCCAGCGTCAAGTCCTACGTCAAGCGTCAAGTGGACGCTTGACGTGGACGCGCCGCATTGTGTGGGCTGCCTTTTAAGTTGTGTTCTTTGAAATAAGTATATATAATATAACAGATTCGATCATTTATTGTTTTTCAAAATGTTCTCCGCGACATTTAATACACTTTTGCATACTTCGTTGTTCAAACCAGTTTTTAAAACATTTATTCCACTCCGAAGTTGGGGTAGTCAAAATGGCCGATTCGTATGCGTCGACGGCTTCTTCGGGTGAGCTGAAACGTTGACCACGAAGACTTAGCTTAATTTTTGGGGAACGTAAAAAAATCGTTAAGGTTTAAGTCAGGACTATAAGACGGATGATCCAAAATTTCGACATTTTGGGTGTCCAAAAACACCTTTGTTGAAGGGCGGTGTGCGAACGTGCATTGTCAAGGTGCAGTATCATACGACGTCTTGAATTGATTTTTAGAAATTCGGTGATGACTTGTGGCAAACAAACAGTCGTATACCAGTCAGCGGTAAACATCTTGCAATCTTCTAGTACAATAGTAGCCCTTTTTTTTATATTGCTCCGTGAGCGAATGTATTTGGTCGGTTTTGGCTCATCCTGGAAGACCCAAACAGTTGACTGCTACTTAGAATCTGGATCGTGAGCATATATCCAAGACTCGTCACCACTAACCATATCATAAACATGCTTTGACTGTCCTCGGTTGAATCGCTGCAGAGTTTTGCGACACCAACTAACATGGGCTGTTTTTTGGTCGTCGCTACGCAAATGTGGTATCCAACGAGAGATCAACTTTCTTACGCCAAATTCTCCGTGCAGGATATTTTGGACAGTGATTCCTAAAATGCCCACGGATGCCTCTATCTCACGGTATGTCACATGACGATCTTCGAGGATTAGTTGTCGCAAGGCTTCGATATTCTCTTGTATTATGACGATTTTTGGGCGACCTTCACGTGGCTTCTCACTGAGCTTAGAGTGCCCACGTTGAAATTCTAAATACCATCGTTCTATAGTCTTAAGACATGGTGCTACATCAGTAAACACAGAAGTGATTTCCTCAAAGCTATGAAGTCGCGATAGGCGTAGAAAATTATCGCACGCAAATTTTCCTTAGAGATTTCCATTTTTACAACTGACTTGTCACTTTTGAATAGACGATACAATAGAACTATTCGACCAATCTGAAAACATTCTTTTGTTTTCGAATTCTAAATTCAAAAAGATGTACCTAAATGTCATATGCTTTTTTTTAACAATCGCGGGAGGTTGGCAAACGACAAGAGTTAAAAGGCAGCGTAGGTATTAACGTGTTGGGTGTGCGCAGACCAGTCCCCGCTGGCGGCGCTGGGCCGGCTCGAGGTCCTGGAGCTGGCGCGAGTGAACGCGAGCCGCGTCTGCAGAGACTGGGTGGAGGCCATGCCGCACCTGCGCCAGCTCGACCTCTCGGGCAACAGAGTCACCGAACTCACGGTATGCGCCCGTTCACATACTGATACGCGCGATGCGCTCTCCCGGTCCCTACTGATAGTATTTACAAATTAAAAAAATATCTAGAAAGTTAAAAAACCTATCGTAAAGTAGCCGACTCTGAGATCGACCCGTGCAGGTGCGCGTCTATCGAAAGGAACGGTGAATTTCTGGTCGCTCGTTTTTGGTCGGTGTATAATATTTTAGTTGAGTAATATAATTAGGTACGGTAGGTAGGCCTCTAAGTAGATTTAATCCAGGGCCCCACAAATTCACGACCCGCCCCTACGTGTATTCACACCTCACCGGTGGCCGCTCGAGTATACCTGGAGAGTAGAGAGAGTATCACGAGCGAGCGCTGCCACCGTCATATTTATATGTTGACGTGCGACTCCCGAAACGTAATTTTATATTTTTTGCTTTCCCCTTACATGTGTAATTTTCATTTCAATAGAAATCCCATAAAGCCATGTCGGATCGGTGTCATAATGTTTAAAAAAATATATTAACGACTTCAAATATATGGAGATATCTTACACTTTTATTTATTTATTACTATATACCCACCCCGGCTTCGCACGGGTGTACATGTATTATATATAAACCTTCCTCTTGAATCACTCCATCTATTAAATAAAACCGCTTCAAAATCCGTTGCGAAGTTTTAATGATTTAAGCATACATAGGTTTTCAACCGTTGTACGGGTCGGAGTAGGGGTGTTAGGTTTATTTTCGTTATAATCCGCTTATGAATATGTTTCAACAAATCGGTATTGCAGATACAGCACTACCTCGCTACAGCTGGTAACTTTATTTGAAAATTTGATATTTACGCCTGTGAATTTAGAGTCGGATATTAAAAAACAGACTATACATGTAAAAACAGTTACAGTAATAATATTATGCAGTACATTAAATAAATAAATATAATATAATAATCTCAGGACAATTCACACAGACCCAAGTTAAGCTAGCTAAAGCTTGTATTATGGGTACTAGACAACTGATACATATACATAGATTTTTTTTCGTAAATACATATATATTATATATAGAAAACACCCAGACCGATACAAACAATCATACTCATGAATACAAATGTTTGTGCCGTGCGAGGAATCGAACTCGCGACCATCGGACGTAAAGCGGTGTGCTAGACCGCTAGATCACCGAGGTCGTCAAAATAAATATATGAATGTAGCGTTAGACGGCTCAGTGGATACTCTCCCAGATGCACTGACACCATCACTTACTCTCCACTTTTGATCACTTCATGATTAGCGTGTGATTTTTCATTTGCTTGGATCTGGGGATGACGCTACATTAAAATTATTACAGTTTTTAAAAATATGAATTATAAAATAAATATTCTTAAATTAATTTATATTATAACGTTTGTTGGTTTTGATACTTAAAGTACAAAAACATTGTTTTTTACACTAAGTCATTTGGACGAATAGTTAGCAGCACACGCAGTACAAGTCGGGCGCTGCCGCTGTACAATGGACGTTATTATCAGTAAATGTACTTAAGTATATATTGTTTGATAAACTTGGATTTGTTTTTGTAATTTTAAATGTTGTGTCTTTTGTAGTATGAAGACCTTCAAGCTCGTCGAGACCCGACGAAATCCTTGGTGAATCTAAGACGTAACCCCATTGAAAGAATTCTATACGATAAATCTCAATACGAAAGAGTAATATCGGAACCCACTCATATGGTAAGTATACGATTGTGTCGCTATATTCACATTACATTTCAATATTTTGCCCTTTCGTCATATAATCCATTTATGTTTTATCTATTCTCTCACTTTATGTTCATTAGTTTTCATATTTAATGGTTTTTAAGTAAATACGTATTGTCTTTCACATGTTCCTTCTTATATATATATATATATATTTTTTTATATTCCATAGATATTATTTTCCTAAAATATCAATTACCTTTGTTCCGTCAGATGTCCGCCATTTTGCAATAATAAATATAGACTTTTTTTATCTCGGAGACAAATTTGACAATGCTGTCAACTTTTTACGATTCTTAAATAGTGCTGTGACATTATCGGAAATTGATATGAATTACCCATTTTTATAGGTTACTTTGAAATAATGTGTGGAAGTTTATTATTAAAAACGCATTAACACAAAATTTAAGTATAGATATTAATAACTGTAAGGTTGTTGTATTAATTAAATTTTTTTAATAGTCATATATTTTAATACAAAGACTAATTTATTTAATAAAATTACCTTCACATGGTACATTTCATAAAGCATAGTCACTGTCGAAAATAGCTGTTTGAAAGAAAAAACATTAAATGGCACTCGGGAACTGCCGCGGTAAAGCTATTGCATAGCATTTTTTATCAATTTATCCCGTATATAAATGTCCAGTTCAGAATATATAGTAGATCCAATTAGAAGAACTGGTAAGAAACTCAATTGAATATTTTATTCATTTTTTTTAAAAGCCTGTTTATTTACAATGTATATTTATATAGGTGTCTATGTTTAACATTAAATAAAAATCCCGTACATGAACGCTCGTCATTCAAGTAATCGTTTAGCGAGTAATAGGCTTTGCTCAGTTAATATGATTTAACAGATGTTTTGAATTTATTTAAAGGTAATTCCAGTATATTCTTTGGTATCTTATTGTAAATTTTTATACCTATTCCTAAAAAAAACTTATTGACTTTTTCTAAACGATACTTGGGCACAGCAAGTTTGTCTTTAAATCTAGTATTAATATTACGGAATTTCTTGAATCATTCGCCGCGCTCAAAGCCCGCGATTAAAGCTATGCAATAGCTTAAAATTCTTTTCCTACCTAAAAATCCGTTCGCATCTCGTTCCAAATCAAGTGTAGTGCCTTCAGTTGTTTCTCAAGATCGTTACATTTGGGTCCTTTGTTCTTTTTGATGTTCGTTAATAATCTTAGCATTCAGCATTACGTCACAATATAAACTTTACTCTGACGATCTTAAAATCTATAGTCATCAAATCGGTGGACAATTTCAAATACCAACAAAACCATACTAATGCTGTGTGAGATAGCTGATGTTCTCGCAGTAGTGATGGGTTCTCAATTTGTCGAAATGTGCACATTAATTTACGCGAAAAAGGCGGCCAATAGACGTTTTTATAATATTAATAGCGTTCAGGTTAAAGAAGTATCTAAGCTGTGCGGAGTGATACTAGATAAGAAAGTATACTTCCGCAAACACGTAAGTGCAATAGTAAGTAGAGGTATTAAATTTACAGGTTTTATAGTAACACAAAATATTATTTTCTTTTGTTGTTGCTGTTTTATTTTATGTATTAAAAACATGAAAGTAAATAAAAATTTAGGAAATCGGTGTCTCAGTTACAGCACTACTCCCCTACAGCCGATAACATTATATGACGATTCGTCTTTTATACCTGTCAATTTAGCTTTCGATATATATAAATCATTCGATGGGTCGATGCGATACATGCCGCGCCTCCCCAGGTCGCGCGCGTCGAGATCGACTCGCAGCTCACGTGCGACTGCCAGCTGTACTACTTCGCGCGCGCGCTGCGGGAGAAGCCGGCGCACGTGAACATCAACTCGCGCACGTGTCGCGACGGCCGGCCGCTGGCCGAGCGCGCGCTGGACGACCTCGCGTGCCGGCTGCCCGCCGCCGACTGCTGGCCCGCCTGCCGCTGCGAGCTGCGGCCCGCGCTCGGCGGCGAGTGCGGCCCGGCCTGCGGGCTGCGGGCCGAGTGCGGCGCGCCGCCCGTCGGGCCCGGGCCGCCCGCGCTGCGCCGCCTGCGGCTCGCCGAGCTCGGGCTGCGCGGCGCCGGGCTGGCCGCGCTGCCGCCCGCCGCCGCGCTGCCCCGCGGCCTGCGCCTGCTGGACGCGCGCGACAACCGCGTGGAGGGCGCGGACGCGGCCGCCGCCGCCGCGCTGCTGGCGCCGCCGCTGCGGCTGCGGCTCGCCGGCAACCCGCTGCGCTGCGAGTGCGGCCGCCGCGCGCTCGTGGACGCGCTGCTCGACCGCGCCGACCGCGTCGAGGACCTCGCGCACGTGGCCTGCGCGGACGGCGGGCCGCTGGTGCGGCGCGCGTGCGGCCCGGCGCCGGCCGCGCTGGCGGCGCTGGTGGCGCTGTCGGCGGCCGCGCTGGCGGCGGCGGCGCTGGCCGCGCTGCTGGCGCGCGCCGAGCCACGGCTGCGGCTGAAGGCGTGGCTGTACGCGCGCGGGCTGCTGCCGTGCGCGGCGCGCGAGGAGGAGGCCGGGCGGCCGTTCGACGCGTTCGTGTCGTACGCGGAGGAGGACGAGCGGTTCGTGGCGGAGCGGCTGGCGGCGCGGCTGGAGGCGGGCGCGCGGCCGCTGCGGCTGTGCCTGCGGTACCGCGAGTGGGCGGCGGGCGCGTGGATGCCGGCGCAGCTGGCGGCGTCGCTGGCGCGGTCGCGGCGCTGGCTGGTGGTGGTGTCGGCGCGGCTACCGCGCTCCGCCTGGGCGCGCGCCGAGCTCCGCGCCGCGCACGCCGCCGGCCTGCGCTCGGCGCGGCCGCGGCTGGTGGCGGTGCTGGTGGGCGCGCCGCCGCTCGACGCCGAGCTGCGCCGCCTGCTGTCGGCCGCCACGCTGCTCCGCTGGGAGGACCCCTGGTTCTGGGAGAAGCTGCTCTACGCGATGCCGCGCCCCCGCAAGCGGCCGCGCCCGGGGCCCGCGCCGCACCAGCCGCCCGCGCCGCGCCCCGCCGCCGCCCCGCCCGCGGCCTGACCGCAACCTGACCGCGACCTGACCGCGACCTGACCGCGACCTGACCGCGACCTGACCGCGACCTGACCGCGACGCGATTACCGATCTGATATTATAATTATGCAGTGAATCGATCGATACTCACGACTGTCGATAGAGTGACGCAATGTTACGATGACGAGATACGCTCTCGAAAACTTCTCGTACCGACACCGTCGTTACGAATCCTTAGCTGCCTAAACACGTACGCTCTTTCACTCGCGAATCGACCGACCCTGTATGTAAATATAAACGAACAGAACGAAAAATAAAAATACATATTTTTGTGGTCTAGTATTGAATACTGTATCGAACAGAAATCCGACTATATTTTCTTCGAACAGCTAAATATATGAAATACGACAACATAATATAAAATAACATTAGTAATTTTATTTTTTTAAAAAACAATGTGTGTTTGTAATAGTCTAAAATAAAAAATATTTTTTGATATATTATATCAAATATTTATTAATGCGAATAATTTATTAATTTTGTATTAATACCTTTTAAATAAACACCCACACGTTATTTTTGAGACAGACATAAAAATCAATCGTTCATATAAATTTCCGATAATGTCACAACACTATTTAAGAATCGTAAAAAGTTGACAGAATGGTACTGTCAAATTTATCTCCGAGATAAAAAAACTGACTATAATTATTTATTATTGCAAAATGACGGGCGTCTAAGTATGGAGCAAACATAATTACAGTAATAGATAAAACATATTTTTGAAAAATAATATACGTGGAATATTTTTTTTTTTAAAGAATGTAAAATGACATTTGAAAGACAATGAATGACATACGCGCAATATCGCGAAAGAGTGAACATGTAATATAGATACAAACGTAACTGTTTTTTGCGCGCGCTGTCTTAGTGTAAAGGCAGCTATTGTTATTGTTATGTGACAGAATAGTCAATTTTCTAATATCAACGTACAGTAAGTAGTGTCTGTCACATAAAAACCACACTCGTTCTGTGTTTAATTAATTATTTGAAACATTACCGATTGTTTAACATACGTTCACGTCGAATGTTATTGTGATCTGATACGATTTGTGATTGTTTACCTCCGTAGATCTGTTTATTAATAACATCGTGTAGTTCAGTAAGACTGGTACTGGACCTCGTACCCGTGTGCCATCACACCGTGCCAACATACAAGCGCCGACTTTTTCTACACTTGTTTGTGTATAAATGTACATAGTATATAGTGTTTCTGTAATTATTTTGTAAGCAAACATATAAATAAAGGATCATGTTGATATTATAATTGTGTATAGAAGCGGACACAGGGCATGCCCCCGTCTTTATTTGTGTACAACGCACAATAGAGGCTGATAACATTGTAAATAATACATATAAAGGAAACATTAGTAACTAAGAGGTATTGTTATCCATGTTTCAAATGGACTTTTGTATTGCTGTATTGTGATGTATATATTTTAAAATAAATTAGTGTGCCTTTTTATATTGTATATACCTTTTTGAGAATATTTTTATATAATCTATAGGTATACTCTGTTAATAAACGATATTATAATTGTTAATTTTTTTTTTTACTGAGTCCTACGTCCCTATATCGACGTCTATAATTGTTTGGCATGTTCAAATAAATTCTTATGACGCTCCAAACGTTTGTAGTAGATTTATTGGGGTTAGGAATAAAAAAATGTAACTTCACAACTGTCAGTGGAATATCAAACGAACTTTAATACATATCATGGACAAACAAAACTACAAACGAACGGAAAGGACCAACGCGAAATAGGAAAGTCGAAAGACCATCAAGACGGTGCAGCGGTGGGCTGGGCTAACCAGCGCCGCGACAGTCAGCTGTCACGACATATGCTGAGCGTCGGCCATGTTGTCAACTAGACATTTATATGTGTAATTGATGTCGCGTGTATAGTGTTCACTTATTTGTTATTTATGTCTTCTTGTATGTAAGTTGTTATCGACGTAATATCGGCTCGTTAGCCATAGCTCCACGTCTTTACTCCGCGGCGCTTGCGCGGGGACTCTCTTCCCTCTTGCGCACGGCGGTCCGTGTACGCTCGGCTCGAGACGATAGATAATAAACTGCTAGTGTTTCCACATACACTACATCTCTCTCCTTTTTAAGTTTATTTTCTTTTCAAGCATGAATCAATCCACTCTATTAGGTATTTGTTCCTTGGAGGCATGTGTGCTACGTTACAACGATGGTGGACTCATTTTGACACTATACTGCCACACATAAGCCGAATGCCTCTAGTGCGATTGGCCTTTCCAGCGTAACCAGCACCGTGATTTTTCCTCCTCTTTTGAATATAAATTACATTTATATATTAACTCCAATTTACTCTGTGTTTCACATACTTCACCTTTCTTCTTTTATATTTGTTTTCATATAATCGTTATTCCACTTTGTTATTGTGTAATATTATGTAAGATTAGTATAAAGCACTTCTGAAAAAAATGTTGTATGTTTTATGACCAGAATATCTTTATCATAGTAGTCACTACTTTATATTTTGTAGGTTTACGGTAAATACTTATATATTTTTTCCATTCTATCTGTCTCATGCAATGTGTTATTTACATGTAGTATTTTTCTTTATCATGTACATTTGAATACTGATTATCTAAACATAATCTGGAATTTCTTCAAAACTCCCCACTATTTATTATTATCATTCCATACAATATTGATGGGTCCTATGGTGGTATACCAGAATATTATTATTATATCAAGAGTTGCATCAACAATTGCAAACGACTTTCCACTATATTCTGTCTACACATCTGATATCAGTCCATGTAGTATTAATTGGGTATAACTATAACCATTCTTCATCGTACAAAATTATCTCTCTTATCACCTGCATTAATTCAGTGCTAAAATATTAGGAAAGGTTGTCAGACCAGTCTTTGAGCGATCGACATATACCACATATATCACCACAGCGACTCTACGTACTCCAGCAATCGTCAATTATATTAGTTATAGAAATTATATTTTCGACCAAAATTAATTTGTGTACTATGACTTTTGATTTATTATATTTTACTGAATCCGCTCCATTTCACTCCGATAATTAATATGCATTAAAACTGGCAATTTTTTATTACTTATATTCACCCGCAATTTAATGCAACATTCTATCAATTTACCTTTAATGAATAGGACACCATTCATCAATACACAATACAATGCTTGATGACCCCGCCAAAGACAATTTAACACAAACTGGACGTTAATACGCAATTTAATGCTTAACGACCCAGCCAACGCAATTTAATGCAACCTGTCCGCCAATACGCAATTTAATGCTTGACGGCCCAGTCCAACGCAATTTAATGCAATCTGTCCATCAGTTCGCAATTTAATGCCTGATGGCCCAGCCAACGCAATTTAATGCAATCTGTCCATCAGTTCGCAATTTAATGCCTGATGGCCCAGCCAACGCAATTTAATGCAATCTGTCCATCAGTTCGCAATTTAATGCCTGATGGCCCAGCCAACGCAATTTAATGCAACCTGTCCGTCAATACGCAATTTAATGCTTGACGGCCCAGTCTACCTTACCTCTGTAGCTCCTTTTTTAGAATATCAATGCCATTGTCACCGTCATTATAATCCATTGAACTTCTTAATTCATCCTCTTTAAGTATTGGTTATTAGTATTATGCTCATTGTTTTTCTTCCTTTGCTAATTTCTTTAAGGTCATCTGAGCCAATAGTCACTTTATAAGCAAATCATGAACTCCTGCAAAACACCAAATTTTATAATTATAGCACAATTAAACGCCACTCTTATCCATTTAATTTTCACAATATATACATTTATGACTACTAATATTAAACATATTTCAGATTTATGTACTCCACAAGAATGTCCAGTAAATAATTCTAATCTAAAGTATGGGAATACTAATAGTATCCTCAGAACTATTTTTTTTTCCACTAATGTATCGTTAGTAATTGTTACTATCATGCATCATGGTTTACATTATTATCTAGTAATAATAATAATAATTGTGCAGCCATAATATAACGCAC